AATTAACCCCAGCTTTCAGTATACTGTATCTGAAGGAGCATCTCCACCCCCATCGTTCTACCCGGACACTGAGGTCCAGTGCAGAGGGTCTTCTGGCGGTCCCTTCACTGCGAGAAGTCAAGTTACAGGGAACCAGGCAGAGGGCCTTCTTGGTAGTGGCGCCCGCCCTGTGGAACGGCTTCCCACCAGATGTCAAAGAGAACAAGTACCAGACTTTTAGAAGACATCTGAAGGCAACCCTGTTTAGGGAAGCTTTTAATGTATGATGCATTACAGTATTTTAATACAGTGGTACCTCGGGTTAAGTACTTAATTCGTTCCGGAGGTCCGTTCTTAACCTGAAACTGTTCTTAACCTGAAGTACCACTTTAGCTAATGGGGCCTCCTGCTGACGCCGCACCGCCGGAGCACGATTTCTGTTCTCATCCTGAAGCAAAGTTCTTAACCTGAAGCATTATTTCTGGGTTAGTGGATGTAAGCGTATGTAACCTGAAGCGTATGTAACCTGAGGTACCACTGTATTTTGTTGGAAGCCACCCAGAGTGGCTGGGGAGGCCAAGCCAGATGGGTGGGGTATAAATAAATAAATAATAATTATTATTATTATTAGGAATGATTTTAGCAGGAGCTGAAAACAGGAGCACAATGAAGGTGGCTACTTGATTTCAATAGGCACTGCCATACGAAACAATTGAGTTCTTACAGGTATTATGTGCTACAAGTATTCTGTGGCACCTGTACTATTGCCAATTCCATCAACCGAAGTGGTTGAATGGGCACCTGTGGGGTAGGGTATGCTCCTATTAAGACAGCTTAATAGGTTATCTGATTTCGCAAGTTAATGAATACTTAAGAATGGTGCTCAACCGATGCATCTCTGCAGCAGGATTTTTCTTTTGACATTTAGAACAGTTTATTCAGAAAGGAAGGAAATGATCAATACATATATTAAAACTAACAATGACTGCTCAAAATGGACTTCGACTGAACTTTGAGCATCAAATTCCAGGAAATCTGATTTCAGCTGTCAGCTTCTCACAGGTTCCCATCCCTTTCTGTGTACAGATAATATCAGGACTAGCATAGGCTCCCTAGCCAATACAACCTGAAGTAATTATCAGTGATTAAAAGAAACCATTCAGCTATTTCAAAATCCTATTTAAACATCCTACTTGCAAACTTTGCACGAAATGTACATGGCCAAATTGAAAATGTTATATCAGACAAAATGAGTCTACATTTGGTATTAAAAACATATCTGAACGTGTATTTGGAATATGTTTGTGTTTCCCCCCTCCAGAATGTGATTTCTGTAAAAATCAATAAAATATTATTTTAAAAGACTTCAACATTGGAAAGCCCCATAGGTACCTGCTGTTCTTCCAAAGTAGGAACTTTGACGTCAGTCTTAGTGTTGAAGAAGGTTGCTATGGGAGGATGCAGTTCTTATTAAGGTATCCTGGCTCCAGACAATTTGAGGCTTTAAAGGTCAGTGCCAGCACTTTTAAAATTGAACAGGGTTCAGCAGCCTTTCTTTGCATGCGGAGTCTCTGCTGACCAAAAGTGAGCTTGATAGACAAGCAAGGGGCTATTTGCGCCTCACCTGTAGTGAAATACTTTCCATCTCCTTTTACTTCCTTCTTATGGTGTTGCAGTAGTAGTGAGAATAAGGGCAAAAGGTTGGCTGGAATAAACAAAGTCATCCTGTGCCCACTGCCTTGAGTTGCCACACTTTTATCATCTGCATTATTCTGTTCCATCACTTGGTCACGTTTGTGTGTGACCAATCGTTGTTAGGTCTCTCTTTTTTAAATGATCGCCATCATTCACGTAGTGGTTTTTAAACGAAAAAGCTGTTTTGCAATGTTCTTTTTATCTTTACAACTTCCCCGTACATTAAATAGTTTTATCCTCATTTTTACGAATTAGGATCTGAAGCTGAATATAAGCCATCATGTGAACCCATGGCTGCAGGGATTAAAATGTGAGCAGCAATTGGTGAGGTCTCATTTTTATTGCTGTTGCATTTCTTGTTTTACCAGCATCGTATTTGTTTAAGTAGGAGATGAAAATGCAAGGCCTGTGGGAAATGTAAGTTATTTAAAATGAAATTGGATCCAGGTAAATCTTTCACCCAGTGGTGGCACTATAGCATTCTCATTAGCTGTCCTTTAACAGCCCTGTACCAAAGTTACCTACCAATGACTGCTTTATGAATTGAAGCCTCCGCAATCACCTGCCTTTCTCTCTGTCACATGACCTTTTTGATGTCAGATCGTGTGATCTCTCTCACTCCACATAAAGAATTATAATTTTTCTCAAGGAAGCCCATATTCCATATGCATGCAGACCAGCTTTTCAGCAGCTGGATTCTGAGCTCAGAATGCTGGTACATACACATGCAAACACACACACACATGTAACACACCACACTATGTGAACATGGAAGCAGCCACAAAGCAATTTGCAACCCACAGCTGAGCCCAATACTCAAATATACAGAGGAACACTTCAGTATCTAATATAGTAAACAAACAAGACTGTGATGCAAGGATGCTCAGTTTTGTTTATCTAACTGTCACAATACCATCTAGAGGAAGAAACACATTTCACAAATTCCAGAAGCAGAGCTGGAAGGAATTCCCTTCTGCTAATTTTTGTTACCATCTTTGCACGTTGCCATGAAAATGTAGCTGTGGTTTGCATTGCAGACTAACATGTTTTCTGACGGTAAAATGAAACGCATGTCCAATTATACATTACAAGCAGAGGCAGCTGCGGCTGCAACCCTTGACATGCTTAGTAAAATCCAATGGGTCTTCATTGCAATTAAGTATGCTTAAGAATATTTATTTATTTATTTATTTATTTATTTAGTATATGTGTAGATCTCAGGGTGGTTCAAAACAATTGAATGTTGGAGAAACCAAACCAAAAAATGAGCTTTTATCTAAAATTCTCCTTGCTGGCAAATACTACACAGGTAGCATTAAACAGCCCCTCCAAATGTCCCTATTTTTCAAGGGACAGTCCCAGATTTATAGAGGCCATCCCTGATTTCTGATCTGATCCCGGAATGTCCTGCTTTTCCTTTGGATGTCCCTATTTTCATCAAAGAAATGGTGGAGGGTACAGAGTTATGCAATCCCTGAGCTAAGAAGATAGGTAACTAACTATGCAGTCTTTAGAAGACATCTGAAGGCCACTGGCGGACGAAGGGGGGGCAGGGGGAGCAGGACGCCCCGGGTGCCATCCCTGGTGGGGTGCCATTGTGTCCGACCCCAGGACGCGATCCACGCACCCCCCAGGACACACACCACGCCCCCGGGATGTGTGCCAGCCATGCCCCCACCTGTTCTCCGCTCCAAGAGCATGTAGCTCCGCCACTGCTGAAGGTGGCCCTGGCGGCCCGGCAGAGGGAAGGGTTTTTTTTAATGTTTTATTATGTTTTTATATATGTGGGAAGCCGCCCAGAGTGGCTGGGGCAACCCAGTCAGATGGGCAGGGTATAAATAACAAATTTATTGTTGCTTTTGTTGTTGAATAGGGCATCCCTATTTTCATCAGAGAAATGTTGGAGGGTATGCATTAAAAGAACTATCAGGCTTAACTAGATAACCTAAAAATTATTGTCTGGGCATTTGGATTTTACAAGTACACATACAGTGGTACCTCAGGTTACATACACTTCAGGTTACATACGCTTCAGGTTACAGACTCCGCTAACCCAGAAATATTACCTTGGGTTAAGTACTTTGCTTCAGGATGAGAACAGAAATCGTGCTCTGGCTATGCGGCAGCAGCAGGAGGCCCCATTAGCTAAAGTGGTGCTTCAGGTTAAGAACAGTTTCAGGTTAAGAACGGACCTCCGGAACGAATTAAGTACTTAACCTGAGGTACCACTGTATACCATTCAGTTTAACCCAGTGCTCAGATTACAGCTGGGGGGAAAGAGTGGCTAGCCCCAGCCCCCTATTTTTTGTGATGCCCTCCCTCAGGGACTGAAGAGGGGCTTGATTTGACTAAAACATAGAGGCAAGTAAAGCAGCCTCCTGTTAAAACACATCCCCTTTTGCAGAGGCCTCAGGTTCATCCACAGCATCAATACCACCTGCAAGGAAAGGAAATAAAGTGTGGTGGGAGGAGGAAGCAAATGCCCCCAGCCTTAGATTTAAAATCATTAAAATCACAAGGAAATCCCTACGTTTCCCTCTATAATTCGAGCACAAATCACATTACTGCTTTGCAATGTTGAAAACAGCACAAAACAGTGACAATGGCTTCACCTAGACTGAGGATCCCAAGCATGCTGTACCCCAGGTGGGTACAGCAGATGTTGGCCCTCCATATGTTTTGGAACTACAATTCCCATCATCCCTGACCACTGGTCCTGTTAGCTAGGGATGATGGGCGTTGTAGTCCCAAAACATCAGGAGGGCAGAGTTTGCCTTTGCCTGCTCTACCCAGACCAGTCCAAGGAGCTCTGCAGGATCAAGGAAGGTTACAGGTAACACCCAGAAGGTGTGGCCAGAATTTTCTTTCAGGAGAAATGCAAAGTGCACCTGCGAGTTTACGGGACTGGTAAATGCAATCAAGCAGACATGTGGAGAGATAAGACACTGAATGAAACAGCAAAGAAAGCTCTTTTAAAAAAACAAACCACCCCTTCTTTCCTGTGTATATAGGTTGCCACCAACTTTCCAGAAGGCTGTGTGGAGTTTCCCCCCTACCTCCCCGGAAAAGAAAGATTGGATATCCTGCATAGGAGCCAACTCCTAGGGTGCCCCCAAAATGGATGGGGATTGCCATTCGAATGGTGTGCATGCACAGCATCATGTGATCGATTTTGCAGGGTGGGGCTTACCTGGACCTCCCCCCCCCCCCCGCAATATTTTATTTGAGTTGGCACCCCTGTATATCATGGGATAGCTCTGTCCGTACAGCATAGAATCCTAGAAATGTAAAGTTGGAAGAGACCCTGAGAATCACACCTGCAATGCTGTCCCATCCGAGGATCGAACCTTGGCGTTATCAGCACCACGCTCTCACCAACTGAGCTATGACTCTTAATCTCACGAGTTGCGGGTTCGAGTCCCACGCTGGGCAAAAGATTCCTTGCATTTCAGGAGGTTGGACTAGAGGACCCTCGTGGTCCCTTCCGACTGTACAATCCTATGATTTGAGTGTGTGCGTGCGCGCGTGTTGTCCCTTAAACTCTCCTCACCTAGATCGGAAGCAACGGTTCAGCTCAGGCCTAGGGAAAGCTTGCCCACGCTTGACTCGCTCTTCGTATCGCTTTCTTATTATAGGGCAAAGCCGATCGCGTTCAAAACACAAAAGCACAGATGGTCCGACGGCAAACAGCATCCTTGCCACCTGCGAGGGAGGGAAGGAAGGAAACGAAAAGGGCTGGGGCGGGGGGAGCAGGGAGGAGAGCCCACGCGCCCCGGCCAGAGATTTAAAAGCATTTAATCCCTCAAGAACGGATTAAGAATAAAATATAATAATAATGCGGTCCTGAGGCACAGAGCATCCATTCACCCACCAACGACGACGACAACGAGGAGGAGGAGACGAGAGAGGAAGGAGGCGGGAGCTGCGCGCTTGGCGCCCCCTTGAAGGTCGTTTGGCATCTTCCATTCATTCCGTCTAGAGCTTCGCCACGCTGCCTCAGAAACAACCGCTGGGCTTTAAAAATTAAATTTTAAATTAAAAAGGAGGAACATTCTCTTCCTCTGAGCTCCCAAAAACGTCACCCCTTCTTGGCAACGGAGCGACAAGAGCCCGGAGCGAGCGAGGGAGAGGCAGCTCTTCTAACAAAGGAGAGACCCCCGAAGGCGGGGCGCGGGAGAAGAAACACCTCAGCTTGGGCTTCTTTTTTCGTGAAGACGGAGGGGGGAAAAGAAGGGACCGGCCACATTAACAGGTACGGAGTTTGGGGAGGGGGTCGCAGAGAGATAGCCTCGTAGGTCCCCTCCCTCATCTCAGCCATTCACCCTCGGAAGGACACATGGCCGGCGACAGGAGAGAGCGGCTTTCTAGCTGGCGCATGTTGGGCGTAGGTGCTTTTGGCCAAAGAGGTCGGGGGCTCCTGGACGCCTGAGGGAAAGGCTCGCGGAAATGGCGAGAAGAGGCGCCTCGCCGCGGCCCGGGAGCCGCGTGTAGCCGCATGGCGAGGGGCTCCTCGCTGCTTCTTGTCGGGTCTGCTCGTGAGGAGACCCACCCCAGCCAGCCCCCCCACTTTCTTCCCGCCTTCGCTTCTCGGGGTAGCAGGCATTCTTCTCCCGGGCTGCGAAAAAGACCCGCACGTTTTGGTCTCTCTTTTCTTTCTCCATTATGGGTGGAGGGAAAAAGGCGCGTAGGAAGCGAATGCGTGTGACTCATGCGCCGCACTTATTTCCACCTCTCTGAGGGGGGAGGGCGCCACCGTAAATAAACACACACACACACGCGCGCGCGCTAAATGAGACCCTAATGAAACAGTTTTAGCAGACCTAGGTCACTGTTCAGGCTGAGGCACAAACCACGTTACTAGAATGTAGCCCTAATAAAAAGAAGCGGGCTTGCTCCAATATATAAACGGATTTGACGGCTGGCAACCTTGACATGGGGGAAAGAAGGGGAGCGAGCAGGGAGAGTGAAATTCGTCTTTGTCCTCCTCACTTGGCAAAAGGTTCCACCTGAAATGGTCCCTTCCTTTCTTCCAGAAGCCCCTCCCCCTGGTTTATTTATTTATTTATTTAAAAAATGGAATTGGGTTTCTGAATTGCTGGCAAGCTAAAGCTGATACTCTTGAAAGCCAAAAATAGGGATGTTGGTGTACCAAAACCAAAAGAGGGACACTTTAAATGACATGCGGGATTTTTTTGAATGGAACATATTGTCACTGATCTTCCTCCTCCTCTTTTTTAAGGCAGTTGACTTGTCAGCTGCTTAGGTACATTTGCTGTGGGTGTATTTCTTAATGCTTCACTGCATTGGCCCTTTTCACCACAAAAAGACTTTGTCCCAACCTTGCTTGTGGCCCACTCAGGTCTAAATCATGCATGCCCTGAATAAAAGATGTTGTTGCTTTCACAGGAAATTCAAATTTGCCTTTTTTTTTTAAAGATCCAGTAGTTTCACCCGCCCCCTCCACTCCACCCCTTTAAAGCTCCACTGGAACATTTTTGTGCCTTTTTCTTTTTAAGATAACAATCATCTGTGCAACATTAAAATGCTGCTACTCTGCTCTGACTGATTCTGTAGGGCTCTGCTGGGTATTCAAGAGGGATGCTACAGATTACTTTGGAATTAATTATCAATTTCTTACGTCACTTGGCGGTATTGTAGTCCTTGTGCACCACTTGGAGACTGGAAGTTAACCGGCTTATAATTTGTTCAAATAAGTAACCGCTACACTAGGGAGTACAAGGTTATGCTAGGAATGCAGGCCTGATTCCAGCCTACATCTGTATAGAGGTGACATCTTTTCCAAGTCTTGGTTTCTCTCCTAGAGAGGCTTTTTCTCTGTTCTATTCTTCTCTCTCTCTCTTGTGGTTAGCGCCTTTGCTTTTTTTTATCACACACCATCAGTGTCCTTTCTGCCATAAACCATTTGTTCACAAAGCAGAGTTGTCATACAACCTGTTGCTATCACTGATTGCCTCCATGGGCAGGGTGGGGAGGAAAGGTTGTAAATGCAGAAATACTGGGTGATGTCCTATGAATTCCTACAGTAGGTCCATTGGTTACAGTGGGTCTGCTTTGAGTGTGACTAAACATTGTGTAGCGCCCATTATAACCACCATACTCATTAGTATTATTAGCTTAAATTCAAGACAGAGTTAAACTTGCTGAAATACGCTGAAATCGGTGGAGTCCCAATTCTGTGCTGGATTTAGGCTATTAATATTATGATTATTGGCATCGTTGTCTTCAGCCTGCTTAAACATGCCAGATTATCATTTGATTATCCTGCCTCCCACTGGTCTCCTTCTGCTCCTTTTATTGCCATTTTAGTCAGGCCTCTTTTATCCTTGAAAAAAGTTGCATCTTTTATGGTGAATTTCACCTTTCCCTGCCTGATTCATTTCAAAAAGAATGCTGAATTTATTATTTATATTTATTCTTGTGGTGCAGTGGTTAGAGAGTGTTGGACTATGACCCGCGAGACCAGGGTTCAAATCCCGGAACAGCCCCTGCGCCTGCAGATGTAGTAAGCCAGGCTTACCAGATTCTGAAATACCTTCTAAAGATCACCCCCACCACCTGCAACACGATGAAACCCAGAGTCTAAAGTTACTTAACTGCTCCATTGCTCATATCTATCCTGCCTGAAGATCTTTGGTGAAAGAAAGGCAAGGTATAAATATAATAAAATGCTCTTAAAGATGTCCTGTTGGACTCTTTGGGAGAGGGGCCTAGCCACTAAACTTTACATCAGCTTGCTAACACTGAAAACTGAACTTTGATAATGGAGTAGTGGGTGGGAAATGGCTGTTCAGTTGAAATCCACCACCAGAAATCCACCAACATGCTTTTCTTAGAACGGAAGGGTAATTTTCATAACGCTACTTGATGCCACATAGTTTATCTCATCTATTTAAAAACGAAAACAAAGACATTTGTGTACGTACAGAGAAGAACATGTTAATCCACAATGTGGCTCTCAAGTCTCCTCCATTCCACAACATGATTTCTCCCTTCTCCCACTACATTTTTTGTGATCAGAGATAAGAATGGTGAGGACATGTTAATATCCTCTTTTTGCTATCGTTTTCTCTCGCTCTTAATAGTTCAGGCCTAAATAAATGTGGGCTTTAAACCACAAATTGGGCAAGAAAAAAGATATTTAAAGCAATCTTCAGTTGACTCTATGCTGTATAAATAGCCCTTCAGTCCATATATTTAATGTTCTGAATCAAAGAATGAATAGAATTTAGGAAGCCAATGAGCTAGAGGTGCATGCGGTCTAAAGTCCTAGCATTATGGAAGAATTTTAATGATGATCTTAATAATGCATTTTAAGAGACTCGAATGAAACACAGTTTGTTTGGGTATCTGACCTTTACAGTAGCCCTTCTCAAGCCTGAATTAGCTTTACATTTTGAGGTGATGTGGTGAGGGTTTTATATTTGTTTACTGTATGTGTTTTAAATGTTTTGATTTTTTTAAAAAAGATATTTATATTTTTGTCAGCTACCACATGCAAATCATTGCTGTCTGGTCGGTAGAATGCTCCTTTCAGAATAAAATAATAATAAAATATGTCCATTTTGCAAAAAACGAGAACAGGATCAGAGAAATCGCATGTGAGCTAATAAAGAGGATTTTAATGAACATGAATATACATAATATTCAGTACACTTCCAACAACCAGTGCAGAATTAATTGCTTTTTAATATGTCTGTTCTGCCTTTGTGATCTCCCCACCCCATGCTTGCACCTGGTCCCTCTCCCCCCGTTCTATTTTAAACGTTAGGCTGTAATTCTGTAGCCAGTTTTCTGGGTGTAAAGCCTTCTAAACTCAGCTGGACTACTTCTGAGGACTACATGCATAGGACTGCCTGTTAGTGGTGTTTTGATTTGATACAGCACAGCAATTTATTTTAGTTTGTAGCTGCATGCTGGCATGTGTAATCACAGTGGTTTCTCATGGTTATGCTGAGTTATCAGCACAGGGATGAATTTAGGAGCAACAGACCTACCTGGGGCAGCAGACTTAGGTCCCACAGGTCTCAGAGGGCACCTCTCATGGACTGGCTACTCATCTCTCCAGTCAACAAGCAAAGCAAATACTTCACCTTTACTGTTGACAAGCGGCCAGTGTTGCATTTCTGTTTGTTTGTGTTTGTTTAATTTGTGGGGAACTTTACGCCACCACTGCTCATTCGGTGACGTACATATGACTGTGAGTGATTGTGATCCAGACTCATGCATGCAGATTTATAGTCTTCTATGGCAAGCATGCTCTATGCATCAAAGTTATTAAATCTCTGCACATACAATAAAAAATAAGGTATTCAGAAATGCAGCAAATATATGCAGGGAGCACTACTGATGATTCTTGTTCCTGATCCTTGGTTGAGGTCTCCATGCCTGGTTGGGTACACTGAAGACCCTGTCCCACCAGCAGGCAAACCCTTCGCATCCTCGTTTTTTCCTTGAGCTGCAAATTGGCACTGGGGACAAGATGGATAAACAGTCACAGAAGACTGTTACTCGCACGAGTACAACTTCATGGTTCAGTATGGAGTTGGGCTTGGTGTTAGCATAGAGTGCTTAATAAGCACACCAAAGGCTTCTTCTGTGTTTGGCTGACAGAGAAGGGTTTTCCCCCCAGAGGTTAGAAAAATTAGCAACATCATATATTTTTGAGTTCAATCTGTCCCTTTCCCAAGCCTGGCTAAGAGAAGTTGCAAAGGCGAACTATGCGCTTGAATCGATTTGCATTTTCTCCCCTTGATGGTGCATGGGATTTGCCCAAAGCTAAATGCAGCCAGAGCAGTCAGATTAGAGTTTAATGATTCCTGATCTTTTTATCAACCTGGTAGCAGTTTCTGAACATGTGCAGTGTGGTTTGTTGGAACTCTTTCTTTTTTTAAACAGTTGAATAGAACATCCTGTTTATGTCTCCAAACAGAGCATGCATGTGTGGCCCGGGGGTGGGTGGGAGAAGTAGGGTTGCAGTAGCAGGCCAGGCCTTTGACTTTTACACATTCAGTATACCCTATGGGTGCGAAATGAAAGATCACACCTATCAGAAAATTCTCTTTGCTGTTTCGCAGTCCTTTTCAAACTTAGAAAACATACCCTTTCTGCATATATGCAGTATGGCTAATAGGTGATTCATCAGTGGCAGTGTTCAAAATTAGCCAGGCACATTTTGCACCCTGCTATCGGTCACTTGCAACCAAGGGAAGCTGCCTGGGCACCAGGATGGAGCCTGACATCTCCACCATCTGGAAGTGCATGCCTGGGGATCTTTGGAACGTGACTGTTTTCACACACTAATACCACATCCTGCAGAATTTCTATCCGTGTATGTTATCTGCACAATCAGAATGAATTTCAGGAACCAAAATGCTTTTTCTGTGCAGCCTGAGCAAGCAGTAAACAATGTTATAGTTAATTGCCATAGCTTGTCTTCATTTACCCCACCCCACTGTTCTGCTCATAGTTGCGAAGAATATTCCTACATTATGAATGGTCTGTGTCACCATTAAGAAAAAGAGGTCGGAACAGGCCAATAGATATGTGGACAGTCCCTGGATAAAGTGGCTTTTCTTATTTAAGTTCTCAAAAGTTCTTAACCCAGCTCAAGGTTGTCATCTGAACTAGCCAGATGTTTTACTGATATCAATCACAGGAAGTCCATCATTTGAAAAATAAGACTTTAGAGCCGTCTTGCCCCAAAATGGCAACATTCCGTTTTGGCGACTGTAACCTTGGTTTATGGAGCCGTTTGGCGCCAAGCAGCGCTGTGGTCTAAACCACTGAGCCTAGGGTTTGCCAATCGGAAGGTCGACGGTTCAAATCCCCGCGACGGGGTGAGCTCCTGTTGTTCAGTCCCAGCTCCTGCCAACCTAGCATTCGAAAGCACGTCAAAGTGCAAGTAGATAAATAGGTACCGCTCTGGCGGTAAGGTAAACAGTGTTTCCATGTGCTACTCTGGTTTCGCCAGAAGCAGCTTAGTCATGCTGGCCACATGGCCCGGGAAAACTATCTGCGGACAAACCTCGGCTCCCTCAGCCAGTAAAACGAGATGAGTGCTGCAACCCCAGAGTTGTTTGCGACTGAACTTAACGGTCAGGGGTCCTTTACCTTTTTTACCTTATATCTCTTGAGTTTCTAACAATGATCAGTAGCGTAATAATGGAATCATTATTATGCCTAATTTAGGGTTGCCATATTTCAATATTGCAAACTCGGACACAAAACTTGTTGAGCTTTTTTTGGGGGGGGGCAAAGATGTTCAGACTCTTCCCCCTCATCTATACTTTTCCAGTGGCAATTAGAGTTAGAGCATGTTCAAGGCAGTGTTAGAAACTCAGATATATAAGCTAATCATTTATATATCTGAGGAAGAAGCCTACAAAGAAATAGAAGTGCCGAAAGGGTCAGTGCTGGATTTATTTCTGAATATGTTTGCTATTTCCTCAGTGAAGCTTTATTTCCCTTAAAGAAAAGGATAATATAATCCACTCAGAGCAGAAGTACTTAGATGGTTAAACAGTTGTAATAAGCTTTCACTTACTTACATCCATGTTATGAGATCACAACCCATTTGAAGACTTCCCTCCATTTCTTTCTTTTTAAAAAGCGGGTTATATATAACATTCCTTACTGAACCTTCCTGTTACATTCAGTGTGTTATAAGCAACAGTGTTTTTTAAAAATCTTTTTCCTGTTGCTGAACTTTATCTTCTAGAAATTATCACCTGTGATAACTTACTTCCTTTCTAGTTCTTGACATGTGTTTTGTTTGAAAGGGCCAGTTTGTAGAGTTGCTGTGGAACTTAATATCTTATGCTCATAATTCCATAGTCGGTCTCCCTGGTCCTCGTCCTCTTCTTTTCAAAGGTGAGGCTAGGGAGAGGAGGAAACACAAAAGATATCACATGGCAGTCTTTACATAAAGGAAGCAGTTTATGTGAAACTAGAGCTCTAGGTCTGAAGGCATCTCTTAGGCACATAAATGAGCCTCTAGCAAGATCAGCCTGCCTATGAACAGAAAGAGGAATCCAGTTTCAGCCTGTAAGCAAATTGTTGACTTCTATGGCTGAAGCTAGTACCCTCTAAAAAGCCCAGCTTTAAAATCTACCTGAACTCAGGTGGAAACAGTCCAAAGGAATGGAGGCTGAAAGTCTTCCCCCCCCCTTTTTTTAAAAGAAATGATTTTAAGAGACCCCATAAGGGTCAGTGTAGGGTACCAGTTAGAGTGCTGGACTAGGACCTGTGAGACCAGGGTTCGAATCCCTACACTGCCATGAAGCTCACAGGGTGACCTTGGGCCAATCACTGTCTCTCAGCCTAACTTACTTCACAGAGTTGTGGGGATAAAATGGGGAGGGGAGAACCACATACACCACTTTGAGCCTCTTGGAGAAAAGGTGGAATATAAATGCAATAAATAAATAACACCTCCCAAATTCCTGTCCTTACACTTTTAATAGCCTTATAAATCAGTTTTTTTCTCATCACATTTCCCACAGCCAGACAAAGATAAGATGAACATTTAATAAGTAATGCTTGCTAATAGTATTATCACTAATTAGTTCAATGGCACATTTTAACTGTACAATAGTTGCTGCCATCATTACTACTACAGTGGTACCTCAGGTTACATATGCTTCAGGTTACATACGCTTCAGGTTACAGACTCCACTAACCCAGAAATAGTGCTTCAGGTTAAGAACTTTGCTTCAGGATGAGAACAGAAATCGTGCTCCAGTGGCGCGGCGGCAGCAGGAGGCCCCATTAGTGGTGCTTCAGGTTAAGAACAGTTTCGGTTAAGAACGGACCTCCGGAACGAATTAAGTACTTAACCCGAGGTACCACTGTACTTCTTTCTTTCTTCTTTGCCAATCAGTCGTAGCCAAGTAAGATTGTCTCCCATGAACATAGTGAGTCCGTAAGTGACTGTGGAGGCCAATTCTGGATCCACACGTCCTTCCACAGTGAGGACATAGGTTTCCGGGTCGGAGTTGATCATGGTGAGGATTTGCCAAATGTGCCTTCCTCTTCGTTTGTTTCTCCCTTTCGTCCTGAGTTTGTGCTTCTCCAAAGTCCATTACGCCTTTGGTCAAGGCCGTTCTCCAACTGGAGCGCTCACAGGCCAGTGATTCCCAGTTGTCAGTGTTTTATACTACATACCGAATTTATCAGCTACTTTCTCCAGGTTTGATGTACTTTTAAAACATGGGTTTTAAAAATGAGCAGCTGGAACTGCTTTAGAAATGGTAACAAAATTATAATTTTAAAGAATACTTGTAGAAACAAGATTTTCCCTTCCCTATGAAATAACGTTCCATTGGGAGGCCAACATGTCCAGGGCAGGTGGCAGGCTTCAGTCATGTCCCAGCCCATTTCTGTGGACAGAAATGGCAAAGCCATTATGAGTGGAATTATTCACCCAAACTTTCATTATCTGGAAATTATAAAACAGGCCTTTATAGCACTGACCAGCTAAGTCAAATGTAATCCTCAGACAGATATTGTAACCTGCCAGCAACTAGGCAGTCCCCCTGTTCTTACATTACCTGTCAGGCAGCGATACCCCAGCGGACTGTCACACATAGCTGGTACTCAGCTTGGTGAGTTGCAATCCACTTAATGAGAGTCATCAAAACGAACCTCTGATATAGTTCCTCTTCTTTGCAGATCTGCATAGATCAGCTAAGAGGTGACTATGTGTTTGTGGGGGGGGCAGGAGTGGCCACACCCACTTCTGACATGTGACCACCGGATGTTTGGTCAAGGATTAATGTGGCCCTTCGGCCAAATAAGGTTCGCCTCCCCTGCTTTCCACTGTTGATGGGATTTTTATCTCCTTACCTTCCCCCTGCACAATTGTCTCTTTTTAAAGGATTATTTACATAGGATTTTTGTCTATGCTAATATGCAGCCTGGCAACACTCCAGGTCTGTAGAGTAAATGGTGGCCCTGCCCTATCTATATTAAACAGCAGGTGCAGTCCAGGAAAAAGCATGATGGCGTTACATGTGCAACTGCATCCAGAGGAACTGCATTTGTTGTATTGGGACTGGAGAGACATGGGTTAAAATTCCCACACGGCCATAAATCTTACCAGGTGGCCTTGAAACAGTCTCTTATCTCTCAACCGAAGAGAGTTATTTTGAGGAGGAGGACATGTGGGAGAGAAGCATGGCAGCTGCCACAAAAAGGGCATGGTGTAAATGTAATCATTAGTTGTTAAGAGTGCAAGCGTTAATAAAGTTTTTTCACCTCATACAACCTGCAGTAATATTTAATTTCATAATTTCACATTTCTCTCAAAGTATGTACACATGGGAGTAGATCGCTTTGCATGCCGAATGACAACCTTGATTATACATTGTGCAAAATTAAATACAACTAAATGGGGAGGAAGAATCTCTCTTAATCTTTCCCAAAGTTCTCAGGCTGCTATTTGTCTGTCAACAATTATCATCATCATCATCAAACCTATATTGGCACCACATACAAACATTCAGAATAAATAGGCCAGTGCAATCTCATCGCCGTTTCAACAGTACAGTCATTTGCCAAAGGGAAGAAGAGGCGAGCAATCTATTTCATCTCTGTGGGTCTCCAGCAAGGGCAGGATCCTGTAGCATACTTCGGCAACAAAAAATCAAATAGAGGAACTTAGCTACTGTCTTGGTGAGCTCCTGGTAATAAGAAGCATATAGCCTGTCTCTGGTTTCCATGTTGGAATACATAGATAGTTTAGAAATTGTCAAGAATTATATACTGATGGTAGAAATATACAAATGCCATTTAGAGCATTCAGATCACCAATCCTAGAGAAAGTCCTAGTACCAAGTTATGTGTGTGTGAGAGAGAGACACTTGAGAGGTTATTGTTCATTTTCTTATTCTGACTTTGAACTTTTTCTTTTCTTTTTACAGGTTTTCAGGCTCACATTACAGGTGCTACTGATCTCTAAAGACCAAGTAGGCTTCAGAACAGTTCACTAAATCACGATGCCTTTCAAAGCAGGCCTAGAATTAACTGAGATGCAGAATATGACAGTTCCTGAGGATGATAACATCAGCAATGACTCCAATGATTTCACAGAAGTAGAAAATGGCCAGATGAATAGGTGAGTAGTTTTCCACTGCCCCAGATTTACCATGTGAAAACACGCTGTTTAAAAACAGTGTTTCTGACTTGAAACACAGCTCATGAATGATTCATTACTGAGTCATGTTCCATTTGAGAATGTGATTTGAATTTCATACCCAGCCTCTGTTGGGCATTGGCAGTAAAAACATAGTGTACCAATTTATTCAACCTTTAAATTTTGGCATATTTAATACAAATGTATTTGTATTTGTAACCAACCAACCCCACAACTCAGCCTGGTCATCCAAAGCACAGCACAAAGGAAAAAGAAAAAGCAACAACATTCAACATTTGGGATTAGCATTACACACTATCTTAGATGTCTCTGGGTCTTTGACTACTTTTCAGTAGCCAAAATAGTGGTCAAATTGGTTCCAAACTAAAACATGGTTCAGATGATCCATTTTTCTTAGGTTTGGGGCATATGTAAAAGAGTAAACTTCCGTGTTGTGCAGGATTTTTCATTAATTTGGTTTACACTGAGATTTGGGCATCTTCAAGCAAGATTATTTATTACTGCATATCATTGCATATTGCACCAAGCACCAGTTTTTCTGCTGCTGAACTTGGTGCAGCATGCATTCTTAAATGAACGTGCTTGAAAGTCCAAAAATCTCATGTAGGCCAACTTGATGGAAGAATGCTACATCAAGGATAACCCACCTGCTTTCGACAGCACACTGTACCATCTCTTGTTCTAAAGCAAAATTACTTGGACTCCGTATACATGTTCACGAAGACCATGCAAAATATCCTGGGACTGTGCCTCTTCAGAACATGGGTGAGAGGGTTGCTTAATTCATAGCACTGGTTTTGTCTTTTAAAGCCCTTCACAGCTTTGGACCAAGTTATAAAGAACCTCCTGTCTTGGTACGTGCCTACCTGTACATTAAGAACTTCAGTGGATCATTCCCCCCACCCCCATCATTTTAGGTGTGGTGAGTAGTTACCGTGGAGAGGACCCTCTTACTTGTGGAGTGCTCTCCCCAGAGATGTTTGCCTGACTCCCATTTTACTGCCCTTTTAGTGCCAGCCAGGCAAATATGCTTCTAATTTCCCCAAGCTTTTTAGATACAGTTTCAATCCTACTGCCTGTTTGATGCTGTTTTTGCAACATTGTGGCCTTTAGCTTAATTGCGTATGCATATTTTGTATGTACATTTTAATTGTTCCAGTATTTTTGTAAACCAGGCTGCAAATAAGACTGAACCCTAACCCTACCACTGACAAAAGAAGAAGCAGCTCAGCTCACAGAAAACTAGCATATGAGAAAGAAAGGTTGTAGACGAGGCTTCTCTTAGCTGGGCTAGTGTTGTTTTCTTTGCACTGTATAGCCTGTGTGTGTTTACATATACAGACATACACAAAGGGTAGAGCATTCAGCATGTATTTCTCCACCTGCATTCTGAAGTGCTACAGTCCCAGGAGGTCTTGAGCTGTTTATTACGTTTGAGGCAAGCAGACTGAGAGCTAAATAGGTCAAATGCTTCTCAGGTCCATTTTGAGTCAGGATAAAAGCTCTGTTTTCAATATACACACATACATTTTTACCATGCCTTGCTGTTTTAATGGCTTGATTAACTGTTACAAATGTTGCTAGCTTATTCTAGCAAATAAGAAAGAAAGAAACGCTTTGCTTACTGTTGTAACCTCAGATCTCAAATGTGCACCTAATATAAGCTGTGTGAATGCAGTATCTTTGCTAAATTGCTTTAGAGGGAGAAATGTAGAATAAGAAATCAAAATGTATCAAATTTTATGAAATGCCATTTTTAAGCAATCTGAAGAATGCAATATTTTTAACTGTAATGTTTTCATTAGTTCAAGTTGCTTGTTCATATATTTTCTGGCCCTAATCCAGCAAAAGTTCGTTATAACTGAGGCTGCAATCCTATGCACACTTCCCTGGGAGTAAGGCTGATTAAACACAGTGGACTGATTGCTTCTGAGTAGCTATGTACAGGAACGTAACTTCCATAGACTGTTTGATGAAGGAATAACCCTATAAGTTTTATTGAAACTAATGGAAGAAGTTAGCTGTGACTAATTAAAGCTCCATTGTTTTCAGATTTAATTGCATGGAGGCCATGGTGTTTAATATGGGCCAGTTAAACTTGTCATACATGCATATCTACCGTATATACTCGAGTATAAGCCGACTTTTTCAGCATATTTTTTAGGCTGAAAAAGCCCCCCTCGGCTTATACTCAAGTGAGGTGGGCAGCGGTGGAGGGACAAGCAGAGAGAAAGGAGCCCTTTCTCGCCGCTGGTCCTGCCACCCGCCTCTCACAAGGGCAGGCACTGGAGCAGTGGTTAGGAGAGGCATAGTGGGCACCTTGGAGGCTGAGATGCACCTCAGGGTCAGCGGGAAGGGTTTGCTTTTGGCTCCCTTGGCTGCAAGCCCTGGGCTGCATCTTTCTTGCCATGTGGGCACCTCCCCTCCTGCGAGAAGTGAATTCAATTCTCCCACCTTTGAGGGAGCTTGAACTGAAGCCCTTTGATATGTGTATATCAAATGTTTTCAGACCAAAGGCTGGGTGAACCAGTGGGGTAGAGAGGTCCTTTTGGGGAGGGGGGAAGCACCTGTGTTCTGTTGTCATCGCTGCTGGAAACGTCGGGTAAGATAGCACCAGCATCCCCTTTATCCATTGAGAAGAGGTTTCCTCAGCTTATATTTGGGTCAGCTTATACTCAAGTATATACTGTGCTTAGAGATAAGTCCTGCTGAGCTTAGTGCACATAGAATTGCAGCCTTTAAGTCCCAACTAATTTCAGTAGAGAAGTGAAACTTGTGCTTCACATTCTTCCATTGAAATAAATGGAGCTTATATGTCCTTGCTTTTGGTTTTTCTGTTCTCAAGGACTGGATCCAGATTTGACCATGCTTAGAGTAGATCCATAAAATCAATGAGACTTGAGTTAGTAAATCCCATGTACTTAGCTGGATCAAACGCCAAATATGTATGGCATGAGCAACATAAATCCTGGTGGCAAGCACCCTAACATTACAGAAATATATTCAGTATAAAAGTATAAATAAAATTTAAAAATAATGAAAAACAAGATTTACAGTGCAGTCCACAAATGTATTTTTAATGCCTATAACTGGATCACACTGAAATCCCATCTCATCCAGCATTTGATTTCCAGCTGTAGCTAGCCTTGGTTCACAAGCACAATGAATCGCATTAGCAAGCAGGCGAACATGGAGTTCATGGCCTATCCTGAGGGTTTGTTCCGTCCATGTTTGCCCTCCTTATGGTCTTTTTGCAAGCATCTGACTGGCCACTCTGGTGAAACAGGATGCTGGCCTTGATAGACCTTTGGTAATACCACCTTTTAAAATGGAGGGTCTGTTCAGCTATATGGCTAAGGGCATTCAGTAGAGCTGTCCTCTGTGAATTAGTGTAAAAGCAGTGGTGCCCTCAGGGTAGGACCTCAGGGCAGATGCCTGGGGTGTCATTCAGCAAATTGAGCAAGAAGACCCCCAAACAGAGCAGGGCTGGGTTGCTGCATTATCAAAAAGCCACTATTCAAAGAGAGAAGCCCCCATAAGACAATTGAAGCCAGAATCTAAAATTACCCAGCAGATTACTGTTTTAATAGTTTTTAAATCCCTGCAACAACCTAAACTAGTCTTCCTTCCTTATGGCAGTTTATAGGAGAGCTGAATCCGGCTCTGTACGTATATACTTCCCAGACTTAATCATTCATGCCTATCCCTTTTTGTGTGTGTTTTCTTTTCTGTGTGTACCAATCCATGCTGTTATCTATATGATTCATTTCCTTATGGCCCAACCTTCTTGTACAACTGGGTTCTAGGTAGCTTAATTAAAAACAATACACACCAACTCCATAACAGCTGCAGCTCAATAATAGCACTAACGTATGTTCCTCCTGTGTATGCTGTAATGCTAAAGAAAATCCTGTTTGTTCTTTTTCAGTAAATTTATTTCAGACCGCGAGAGCAGAAGAAGTCTAACCAACAGCCACTTGGAAAAGAAGAAATGTGATGAATATGTAGGTTACCCTCCTTGCCCTCCTTGCACAAAGAGCCAGCCTGATGCCCTCCAAAAGCTGTTGGACTACAACTCCCATAATCCTCGAGCACCCGCCATTCTATCTGGGGCTGTTGGGAGATGAGTCTAGCAACATCTGGAGGGAACCATGTCTGCTACCCCTGTCCTACACACAGGGGTGCTCACAGATCTCCTTTGCAAACAAGAGGCTTGCTGTTCACATCAGTTTGTGGAACAGCTCACCCACATTTTATTTATTACATCAATATTCTCCCTTCTAAAGAGCTTAAGGCAGTGTGTGCAATTCTCCCCAACCTCGAATGTCATCCTCATAACAACCCTGTGAGGTAGGTTAACCTAAAAGATATTGAGTAACCCAAGATCACCCAGTTAGCTTCATGTGGCTAAGTCAGGGCTTGAACCCGGGTCTTCATGTTCCTAGTCCAAACATTTTACTACTACACCACACCAAACTCTTTTGAGTTCCACTGATGTGAATGATTAAGCTCCTTGCTAGAAGAGGTCTCTGTAAGTACAGAGTTCTCTTGTCCTGGAGGAAGGGCTGTGTGGGACGTCACCACCCATCTCTCCACTGGCAGGAAGTCAGACTTTCATGAGGGTATACCTGGTGGGCAGAGCAGCCCCTTCACCAGCTCAGCTTCCTGTGAGCTCCACTGTATGTTGCTCTTGATGGCAGCTCCAGGCAGGAACACCATTTAGGAAGGCATTTTCCTTTGTCTTCATTTGTTTGTCTTTCCTGGATCCTCTTTTCTCTCCCCCATCTGCTGCTTTTTCGTTTCCTTCTGGCTCCATAGACCTCTCCTTTCCCTTCGCCCAGCATCCATTTTCTTTTGGCTTTTGGGGCCTACAGCCCTTGGAAGCCTCTGGACATCCCGGAGGGGGAGAGCTTTGGAAAGGGGTGGAACATGGCAGATGGGGCTTTGCCCAGGAGGAGGTCCAACAGGCCAACGAGCAATCCCAGGCAGTAGGCAATGCCTCTTAAGGCCTTTCCTGAGCATAAGCCTCCCCAAGAGAGTTTTCCCTTTTCTAGAAGAGTTCAGTTAGAACATCTTGCACGAATGGCAGGTTCCTGGGGCCTCAGTGTGAAATTACGGGTGATATTCAGTCTATTTGATTTCAATGCATCTACTGAATGTATGACTTGGTTGGGTATCATCCTATGTTCTCTCGGTTACTTTCGTGGCTTTTCAGTTACTAATAATTCACCTCTTGCCACTGTACCCAAGTGGGCAAATAATCAAATTATCTGACTGAAGGGAAAGGGTCGGGATGAGAAAGTATATTCAGAAAAAAAGCATAGGATGCTTTTCAAATATGCTGCAAACCATAGGAAGCTTTATTCTTTTCTTTTAATTCAACCTGTACAGATTCCAGGCACGACTTCATTGGGAATGTCTGTCTTCAATCTCAGCAATGCCATTATGGGCAGTGGAATATTAGGTCTTGCCTTTGCGTTGGCCAACACAGGAATCCTGCTCTTTACGTAAGTCATCAACATGCAAAAGGCCTTGGGTAAATTTTCACTTTGACACAGACATCAGTTTGGAGTGAGTGTTAATGTTCATACTCCATTTGTATGCTGTTTTAATAAATGAAATAAGCTGTTAAAAACCAAGTGTGCAATTCACATACAACTTAAAAGGCAGCTGTTTAACATTCAGGTAGCCCAACACACTGGTGTCTAGTTTCTTCCTTTTCACCTTCAGATTTATTTCTGTAGGAGTAAGGCAGAAGATTGCATAGAATCCCAAGCAACGGCACTTTTTCCTAAGGCTAAAGCATCTCTCAGAGAACAAATGCACTATTAAATGGCATTATTCTTATCTGATTTCTGGGGGTGATGTTCAACTAAGTTTTACTCAGACAGACCTATAAAAATTAATGGCACTGACATTTTCATTAATATCAATGGATCTACTCTTGAGTTACCTATCCTTATGAAATTGTGTTTAGGTGATCATATATTAAAATCACAGCATTGAAAACTAGCACATTTCAGAGAAATAGTTCTCATTCTGAGCCAGCAAAATTATACCCCATAATAATATTTTGAATTAAAACATGTAGTAGGTTAGTGCAAAAATGCTTTAATGCTATGAACAACAGAGGCTTCAATTCCTAGCATACTTTCTTGAAAGCAAGTCCCATTGGATCCAGTGGGTTAGACTCAACCTGCAAGTGTTATTTGTGGTGGGTTCTACATTTAAGGTTCTCCATGAGAAACATCAGGTTCCTGAATTAAGTGCCTTTAGACATTTCTTAAACATTGTAAATAATAGGATTTTATCTTTGTTCAGTATCTATTAATCTGTACTAGAAGAGTTTGGATTTTGGATTTGATATCCCGCTTTATCACTACCCGAAGTAGTCTCAAAGTGGCTAACATTCTCCTTTACCTTCCTCCCCCACAACAAACACTCTGTGAGGTGAGTGGGGCTGAGAGACTTCAGAGAAGTGTGACTAGCCCAAGGTCACCCAGCAGCTGCATGTGGAGGAGCGGAGACACGAACCCGGTTCACCAGATTACGAGTCTACCGCTCTTAACCACTACACCACGCTGGCTCTCATACTAGACTCTCTATACTAGACTTTGACCTATACCTAGGGATGTGCAGCAGATTCAAACAAATCCCAAGCTGAAGTGGGATGCCTCTGAGGAATTCTGAGCTTGTCTGAGGTGAACTGGGATAAAAGTTGTCTAGAGTTGAAGCACAGTTTCCAACCCCTCAAAAAATCCAACAAACATTGGTGATTTGCAAGCCCAAAAAAAGGATTTAAAGAAGTGAAACTCATGATTATGAGCTTACTACAGGCATAGGCAAACTTGGCCCTCCAGATGTTTTGGGACTACAACTCCCATCACCCCAAGCTAACAGGACCAGTGGCCAGGGATGGTGGGGATTGTAGTCTCAAAACATCTGGAGGGCCAATGTTTGCCTATGCCTGGCTTACTATATAAGGAAAATACTTGGGGAGGGATGGGTGGAGCAATGCAAGGGTGGGGAGAGGGAGAAGGTGGTGCTTTGTCATGACTGATAGGTCAAGCTTGTAATCAGAGGGAATTGTTTTTCCCAGACTCTTCCATACCAGTGCTCCCTACCTCTACCCTTAAATCAACTTTCAAGGTGCTTAGCACAAAAATCACTGGACCAATCTGTCGCAATTTGGCACTCCTTTCTCTCTTCTGGCTGCAATTTTCCAACCAGTTGCCCACAAAACACTAGAGGAGATTAAATTAATACATTTTCTTTTTTTTACACCCCCAAAGCTGTAAGGCTGTCCTTGTGGAAAAACCGCTGCTGCTGCTGTCCCAGTATTTGGCAGGATGCATCTCTTCATAATGGACTACTATGCAAATTTCATTCAATTCTGCCAGAGAGGGTGGGGAAAACATTATAGCCATTTTAACATTTCCCAATAATGAATGCTTATTAGATGCATTTTGGAAATCCATCCATAATGTTTGCCTTTGGTCATTGGTAGGTCCCAACTCATCATTTGAGAATTCTTATCCAGAGCAAAAATATATTCCCTCCATATAAGTTCCAGTATCTTAGCGGCATCTGAAGGAGCAAACCTGAAAAGTTTTAATTGCATATAGGAGTGAATTACTTAAGCTTTAAGTAAGACTTTAGGTGTTAGAAACACGGGTTCTTTCAATCTTCCAGAAGTGCCAAAGAGATTAAAGGAACATTGCAGTAACTTCACAGTCTAAAAAAAACACACCTTTGTGAAGCACAGTTTTACAGCTTCCCTGAAAAAGATGTCTCTTGTAAACAAGACAGATTTTATTGATTAAAGATGGAGCCGTGCCCACCCTCGAAAAACATAAAAATAGTTTCCGCTCCAGAGACATGTTTTATATATATATTTTAATAAAGTTTGATTTTTGAAAAGTAGTTTAGAACATCCTATTAATATGACCATAGAGAAGAAACCAGACTGTGGTTGAAATCCTGTGTACATTTTCTTGGGAATAAATCCTCTTGAATACAGTGGGGCTTACTTCTGAGTAAATATGCATATTGTATTGTGTGGGCAGATTACAGAGAGAAGGAGCCTTGGGCAAGCCTTGTTGAAATGAATGTGAACCAGATTAAAATTAATAGTTTATTTCATGGGCAGGAGAGCTTCTACCTGAAAGGCACCCTTTGCCACTACATTGTTTTTAAAAAATAAATTCCAGTACTACACTGGAGAAATTCAAGAAATTCAGTATGTGCTACTCAGTACCCGGAGTCATTGTTGAGTATCTAATATTTGTTACAAAGGAACCACAAACTGCTTCGCACTCAAGGATGTTAGGGGGTTTTTTAACACTGTAACCCAAAAAACCAAACAACACCAAATCTTTGTTTCCAAGGGAAGCTGTGGCTACATTGCAGTGTATCAAAAGCTGGGTTACTAGAGCTACAGCTGTTGGAATGAAGCTTTTTAAAAAACTGAGCTCAAGAATCTACCCAGAATATTCAAGGTGATTCACACATTTCCAGATCACATAGGGAGTGAAAGAATGAATTGGTTTGGCGGGTGGGGCAGTCAATGAGGTTGTCCAGAGATAGCAAAATATCCAGCCCTGAACCTGTTCAATAGAAAGAGGAACTCTTTCCTGCCAACACCCCCCAAAGTTAATGAAAGCAGCCAAGGAGAGTCTTCAGATGTGTTTTCTGCTCTGAAGAAATGTAATGTTTGTGCTGACTGTCCTTCGTGGTACCTGAAGCTCTTTTCGGTGGTTGGTCATGGGGGCGTAGGGTGGGGTAAAGCCAAGCGCCCCCACCCCCATGCATTCAGGAGCATCTCTCCTGGCTGGGGTGAAACTCTAGTAAAAGCTTCCCAGCAGGAGCATCACTGCCAGTTGCTGGGATGGGGAGGGTTGAGGCTGTGTGGGCACCCTGGTGGCAGTGCTAGGCTGGCTCTACCAGTGCCCCTATGCAGCCCCAAGTTCACCACTGCCTCATCCTTCCCAGTGGGTGACAGCAGTGCTATGGGAAGTCCTACTGCCCTCCCATTTAACTACCTCTCTGTTCCTTTTTCCCTGTTGCCACACTTCCTTGAAAACAGCTTGGCTTGCAGGAGAGAGGGGTGAGTTAAGGGGCAGAGAGAGGACTCCTTCCATTCTCTTCCTCTTGTTTTCTCATCCTTTCTGCCTGAGGCTATTTGGATGAGAGGAAAGGGAGAGATTGTGAGGAAAAAGGAGAGGGAAGGGTCCTTCTTTGCCTTGTGCGCACTCTCCCCCCCCCCCATTTTTTCAGCCCCCAAGCTATACAAAAGCAAACGTAAGGATAGGTCTAGCAAGTCATGCTACGTTTTTCATGTAACAAATATTTAGCAAGCCAAGAGCAATTCGACCACAGGAAATCACCCTGTGGAACAGACAGCTGCAGGTGACTCACACAAATGAGCAACACTGCTTTTGAGGGCGAGGAGCTAGTAGCCAGCCTGCTCTCGGACGAAAGACCATTTCAACCTCAAGAACAGGGCTCAGATAGATGATGAGGTAAAGGCCTTCACTCGCGATTAGGCAAAAACCACATTTCATTTGTAGCCCAGTATTCTGAGAAATGGTGGGAGGGAAGTGAGAATAACTTTAGTATTTACCCAGTTTAACAATAAGAAAATGACCAAAAGCTGCTGACTGGCCAAAAAAAGAAAACTCTGGCCTTCTCTTGGACCTGTAAGCAGCAAACAGACCCAGAGCAGGACTGTTGCTATCACATGTCAGCAGCAGGGCTGGCTCAGGATCCAGCCCCATTTCAGGAGTTTCCCTTCTGACAGTAGAGCTTCTCTGCTAGCCAACAGGAGGGTCCAAGGAACAACTACGCTCTATCCAGATCCATAGCTGTCAACGTTTCCCTTTTTTAAAGGGAAATTCCCTTATTCCAAATAGGATTCCTCGCAAGAAAAGGGAAAAGTTGACAGCTATGTCCAGATCCCTTCCAGCATAGCTGATTGGCAGTTTGAATTGCCCTGTTACACAGAATGGAGAGATATCTCTATGCATCAAGCAGACGTGAAATTTACAGCAACAGTGGTCAGTGGAAATGATGGAAACCCAGTGCTTTTTTTCTAAAAAAATGTTTAGGGGTACTCTCATTTTCCTACTCATATTCAAATACTGCCCCTCAATGAGGCCAAACTTAGATTCACAAAATGTTTAGGGGTATGTGTACCCCTGCGCCGCGCCCCTGAAAAAAAGCACTGTGGAAACCCTAATGTGTGCTCCAGCACAAAAGAGCACAAGAAGGGTTTTTAAAAGGTTAAGACAACACTAAATGGCTTTGAACCTGACACAGTCATTTTCCTGTTCTCCTCAAGTTACCTCAGAATGTGATGAATGCAACCTTAAATCTCCACCCTCCCTCACACCTACAGCCCATTCTTATCTGTTCTCACTAATAGGTACAATGCCATCTAACACTTAACAGGGTAAGAAGCAGCACCTTTGCGTTGCTAGCAGGAAGTAAGAGCTTTGTACACATTTAATATCCCTCAGAATCGGGTGAAGAACATTTTTCTAACTTCAGTACATTGATGCTAAAAACGCTGAAACTGTTTGAGGGAAGCCTTGTGTGTTGTGAACCAGTTAAACGGCATTATCACTTGCACACTTTTTTCTTTTCCATTTGTGGAATAAATAGACAACAATCAACTAAAGAGAATGCTCTGTATGTATTTACAGATGTATTTGCCACAAAATTAGTTCTGCGGATTTATTTTTTTTAACAGTGGTTTTTGACAAGTATGCTTTTGTTAGCCCTGGTTCAACATATGAAACATGAGAGCTCTTTGGGTGCTGCAGAGTTTTCTCAGCTCCGCGGTGCATGTTTTGAATTTGCAGAAAGCCGGCGCTGTTCATGTTTTCATACCATTCCCCGGGTTGGTACTGGCAGTAGTCAGCCTGTCTCAACCACAACCCATACAGCAAACAATCGGTTCATGCTGTTTTATTGGAAGTCGTGGAAAATACCAAGTTTATGCATAGCAACCTGCAGCAGATTTTGAGGGCAAGGAAGGACAGCAGATTAGAATATTGTTCCCTGTTCCCCTTTTTACTTGCAAAGACCATCCTGGGCTTGCCATGGGGAGCTCAAGACTAGACACCGCATTACTGTTTTGCAGAAACTACGACTCAGGGCTCTTGAATAAACATCTGTGACTAAGCACGAGTCACCAGAGACTTCTTCCTATCCAATTCAAACACTGGCCACAGCTACTGATGGCTTGAACAGAAACATGATTAGTAGCAGTTCTTATTAGCTTATTTAAAGAACTGCTCAGCCATTAGGTAATGTGCTGAAAACTCAGGAAGGACCGTATCATGGCTTGGGTTCCCCCAGCCCCCGCAAAGTACAACTTCTTGCAGTTTAGAGATCCAGTACTAACGTATTATGCTAACCTATGGTTCACCGTTACACGCATGAGCTTCAGGGTTCACATGCTCCCCACCAAGACATTTGTTCATATAGCACAGCCACAGAGAGGAGATCAGAAGCTTTTGCTTCAATGAACAGTGGCTATTTGTTGTGTCTGAACCCAGACAAGCATTAGTTAAGTAAGGTTTAGGGTAACCATGGTTTATAATGCTGTTTCTCTAAACCAGGCTTCCTCAACCTCGGCCCTCCAGATGTTTTTGGCCTACAACTCCCATGATCCCTAGCTAGCAGGACCAGTGGTCAGGGATGATGGAAATTGTACTCTCAAAACATCTGGAGGGCTGAGGTTGAGGAAGCCTGCTCTAAACTGTGGTTAACACTAACCACAGTTCTTAGTTTGGATGGGGGGAGGAATACCTACATTCATTTATTCATAAAAGGTAAAGGGACCCCTGACCATTAGGTCCACTCGTGACCGACTCTGGTGTTGAGCGCTCATCTCGCTCTATAGGCCGAGGGAGCTGGCATTTGTCCGCATACAGCTTCTGGGTCATGTGGCCAGCATGACTAAGCCGCTTCTGGCGAACCAGAGCAGCACACGGCAACGCCGTTTACCTTCCCGCCGGAGCGGTCCCTATTTATCTACTTGCACATGACGTGCTTTCGAACTGCTAGGTTGGCAGGAGCATTTATTCATAGGCCTCTTCAAAACCAATAAATATGCAAATCAATACAATGAAATACAATTAAAGATACAAATCACAAGCTCAAGTGTAAAACTGGGTAGACATGTGGAGATAAAGTAGAGGCTAGTCTGGGAATGGAAGTGAACATTTCCAATTTCATCCTCCCAGCTGCTCCAGTGGAGGGAAGGGGAAGGAGGAGTATGAAAGCCTGAGGCTTACCTAGGCTTGTTTCTGATATACTAAACCTTGCTTTAGCATTATATCTGAACACAACCATTATCTGCTACTAGAATCGATTTTGCTAATGGGAGAGGATGTTTTCTTTCTTAGAGAAATTCCGCAGGAATGATGCTTATCCAAAGTGGCCATACAAAGTGGTCTAACAACATCTGACAGATGTGCCAGGGACATTATTCATTTCCTTGCTTGAATACAAAGGACAATAGTCTGAATGGAAATCACTACAAGAGCATATAACTCCCAGCTGTGTCATATATTTAAACATTTTCTTAATAGGACTCTTGTCTATTCAGACTAATTTATCTTGGTGGCTTGCATCAAGGTACTAAATATAGCTGCATTTGTAACTAACCACCACACAGTTTTCATACCATATTCATTTGAAGAGCTTTACACTGCTTGTTCCAATTTATGGTACTAATTTATTGAGTGAGACAATTTGGAGAGTCTGGTTTGGGGCATCTGCTGTAGCATTAGCCAACACATGAGCAATGCCGTCTGTACCCAGGCCTTAATAAAAGGAGGCCCAACTTTGGCTCATACCATAATACTTGCAAGACACAAAAGAGCTCTTAGAAACTATAGCTTCCATTATATACCCCACACTTCAGTTGCATACAAAATATGGGAGGTGATTTTCCCTATGTATATAAAAATGTACAAAGCTTCTCTTGCCATATCACAGCTGTTATTAAATTATTATATTTATAAGGCCCCTTTCAACACACAAAAACGAACTCAGAGTGACTTGCAGAAACAAACATGAAAAACAAATATAAAAACCAGAACAAAAACATATTAAGCCACAATAATATGCATAAAAGAGCAAACCCAACTCAACACCACCTCACCCAAAATAGGCAGAGAATTAAATGCCAATGGCCAAGTGAATAAAAATGTTTTTCCTTGTGCCTTAAAGGGAAGGTGCCAGGTGGTTCTCCCTGTGGATAGCATTCCACAGCTTTCCTAGGGGGCCTAGTTTAGGCAACACACCACCATTCATTATACGGTTAGAGAGTTTTGCCAAAACAGTAGCCCTTAATTGAAAATTAAATTTGAAAGTTCTGGTGGCAGTGTAGCTTAGCTATTGACTTTCCAATTAACGCAAGGCTATCCTGTTCTGAGGGCTAAACTGGGGGTCAGAAAATATCATAATTATTCTGGTATTAAAATTCCCCAATAAATCCATATGGGGCTCTGGGTTACACAAGGATGGACAAACGGACAGACAGCACTTCCCAATTCACCCCACACTTCAGGCACAAAATTTTGTGACGAAATTTCTGTAAGCACAAAGGCAGCCATTATCCTACTGCTATGACCACCACTACATCTCCTCCCACCTCCTTTTGGGGGGGGTGGAGGGGGGGTGACAACACACTACACAGGGTTTGTAACTCTAAATATATTCTGCTTGGATCATGCAGCCAAATTTGCTGGAGACAAATAACCTAAAACTGATGGAGATACACTATAAAATCTTTGTCAGCCAATTAGTTTAGCCACTCAGCAATACTCTAAATAAGCAATTTAATTGGTTTTATACTATACTTCAAGTCAACAACATTCCTTTCTCAGATAGTTTGCTGATGTAAACAGTGATTTAACAGGGCAACTGCATATCCCATGAGTGCTCTGCTTTATGAACTTCTGCATAGGCTCTTGCAGGAATGGGGATAACATTTGGAAAGGGTAAAATAATTTTCCGCCCCAGGCCTTTGATCACTCCACAGGAAGATGAATGGCCTGTGATTTAGAGCTCTGAGTTCGTCTAAACCAGGCATAGGCAAACTCGGCCCTCCATATGTTTTGGGACTACAATTCCCATCATCCCTGGCCACTGGTCCTGTCAGCTAGGGATGATGGGAGTTGTAGTCCCAAAACATATGGAGGGCCCAGTTTGGGGATGCCTGTTCTAAGCTATCAATTTTTACAGGAAATATCTTAACATCCATTCTGCTAATTAAGAAGTCAGCAGTATTAATTATTTTGCCTCTTAACTCTGGTTAACTCACTTTTTCAACACTTTAATGACAGAATCAGAAGAATGACAGTATCAAATAAACTTCTAGAATGGACAGGTGTTTTTTTTAATTGCATATGTGAATTGGCAAACAAAAAACAAGCAGGAAACCCATGACGCTCAGGGATATGTATGACGTCTGCTATGAGCCTGTGAGGTCTCTCTGGCTCCCTCAGAATCACTGAAGGTGCTTCCAGACAGAGGTTGATTGTCAAGTCAGTGTTGCTCATCCGCATAAAATTTTGTGCTCTCCACGCAACATCACTGCCTTCAAAATGCCAGTCCATGCATTTTTACATTTTACCTTTCCTCTTACCATGCAATATCTGTTAAGTAATAGCAACCCATTATACATTTGCAAGCACCACTGGCATGGAAGCCTACTAGCACTGCAGCCTGTGCTGTGATGATATTTAAATGGGTGGTATCTTTCCCCATATCTCTACTTCCATTTGCTTGTCACCTGAGCACTACCGAGTCATTTTGTTTCCAGTGGCTGAAACAATATTTCTACTACTGTTTCAAATTCAGTGCCGTACAGGACCTGGCTTATTATATAACGATGATATATTTTTCTTTCTTATTTCCTTTTTTTATAGGTTGCTTTTGATTTCAGTGACGTTGCTGTCTATTTATTCAATAAACCTCCTGTTGTTGTGTGCAAAGGAAACAGGTAATTCATAAGAACGTTGTACAATTCAATAGCAATGAAGGTGATGGGGTGAAGTATATGGAGAATAAAATAAATGTTTTTGTGCCCCCCCACATCAGTGCTATTATAGTGTGGGGGGGGGACTTTAGTAGTGGTCCTGAATACAATAGAAAACATTAAATGCACTTTACTTCACCAGAGAAATTGAAGCCTTGCAGAAGTGTATCAAAGGAAGCGATAATCGAGCCTTCTATTCATGAAGGCAGAAACAGACTCAGGTGAGACTGTAGGAAACAGAGCAGAACCAGTTCTTGATGGATTGCATTTTCTGCCTCAAACTCCCCATCTTGTGCTTTAACAAAGTACCAGAAGATGGAGGGTATAAAGACACAGGGTAAATGACAACAGTGCATAAAGGAAGTGCATGTAGTCTCTCGATTTCCTAAGCTAGATAAAGGAATATTCCTACTGCTGGTGCCATGTCAACTTAAAGTGTTCTTATGTATTGGCTAACCCTAAAGAAATGTATCCTTGGTCTGACTGCAGATCCTTCAGCATGTCAAAGGAAGCGAACATTGTTGGAAACAGGAAGGTTCTCTAATTTTCTGTACAGTGTGTTTCTGAACAGCACCCGTTAGGGATCAACAACACGAAAGGGTTGTTTCCTTAATGCCCTGCTTGTGAACTTCCGGGGGCATCTGGTTGGTCACTGTATGAAACAGGATTCTAGACCAGATGAACCACTGATCAGATCCAGCAGAGCTCTTCAAATGTTCGGTGGTTTATTGTGCCCCAAGAATTGTCTTGTATCATGTTTTTCTTTTTAACTTTTCACCCTTTTTAATATTTTCTTCTCAGATTGTAAGATTATATCCAAAAATTAATTTTTAAAGAAAGAATTTGAAGTGAAATAAAAAGTTTGGTGGTTATACTCTGAGAGGTCATAGAGCTCAGTCTGCCTAGTTACATGACCGGGCAAAAAAAATAAAAAATGATGATGATGCAAATGCTATGATTGGGCTTTACAGTGCTTCGTGTTCCACTTGTTCCTAGAACTCTCGATATTCAATTTCCTGCTGTTTCAGATATGTACATTTGCCCAAACATATTCAGGTTAAAGGAGCTTACTGAAGTGTTTGAACAGAAGCATTACAAATGTCAAGGGGGTGGGAGCAAGGAGATTTCATTTTGTGTTGAACTCCACCTCTCTAAGTATAAGTGACAACTTCTGACATTTTGGAAATGCATGATAAGCTGGATAGACTACAGAGATGAACACAGAATTATGAATGGGGTGTGTGTGTAGATGAGAGTGCGAGAACTGTAAATGACTTGCCATTATTGTATCATATCATGACTCTTTTCTAACTTGGTTTAACCAGGCTGCATGGTTTATGAAAAACTTGGCGAGCAAATCTTTGGCACCCCGGGGAAGTTTATTGTTTTTGGATCCACGTCTCTTCAGAACACTGGAGGTAAATGCTGTGTGCTTAAAGGTGACCTTTTGGCATTTTCAGTCTCCCTAGTACCACTGTACTCTGCTCAAACTTAAATTCTCGCTGCATTGTAATAAATATGTGTTAGGAAGTATATCTAGTGTTTCTGCTGTCTTGGCTATTTGGATTCACCTTCTGCCCATATGCCCTTGCTCCTCCTTCTGCCAGTTCTAATAAAGAGACCAGTATGCTTCCAAGGATAGATGGAAGTCTATCAATTCCTTTCCCCCACCCTATTTTTGGGAAACTCTTTCCTAGTATGGGTCATGTTAATGACATCATGTGAGGTTTGCTGGCCCAGTTATTCTATTTCTATAGGACTATCACTGGGTTATATTCACTGCATAGACTGAAGCCTGGAGGCCACTTCAAATGAGACCTTTTGTACTTCGTTATGGTTCCTGACTTGAGTACAAAAAAACTTATGCTGTGTGTCTCAGTTTCAAATGATGTATTTTGAGTGACTTGTCTCTTTAAAATGCACACAAATGGTGAGTGGGAAAGGATTGGGCCACTTCTGATGCATATATTAAAGGCATAAGCTACTGACAATACAGGCATGTGTCATTTAGACATCCATGTGAGATACACAAACAGAGGGCAAGTTCAGACATAATATTTCTGGTCCATTGGAAATGGGCAAGCAGCCTGAGCATTCCTGCATTCCCTTTATTTTCAGTAATCTGCACTCAGAAGTTTGGGTGCTACCTGCAAGCCAGAATTGCAAACCACAGTTTGATACTGGTTTGCAATCCTGGCTTGCTGGAAGCAGTTAAAACCATAGTTTCCTCATCCAGATAACATGGGGATATTGCAATTTAACAGACTAGGCACTCTTCTCTGCATCTGGGTGTGCAAGAAGAGGAAGAGGGAGCCCTCAATCTCATCACTCATTCACATGTCAACATACCACAGTTTATTGGACCAGCAATATTAATCTCTGAACCCACCCATAGTGTGTATTTTGTACTTGGGGATATCATAGCTGAATATACAAAAAGACTCCTTTGAATTGGCCCTGAGGATAGCACAGAGAAAAACCAAGCACACGGCAGTGTCTTGGCATCATGACTGATTATGTTCCCTTTCTAACAAGACCTTGTTTTCCCCAGCAATGCTGAGCTATCTCTTCATAGTTAAAAATGAACTACCTGCTGCCATAAAGTTCCTTATGGGAGAAGAAGAAACATTTTCGTAAGTTTAATTTGTGGCTTTGCTGACTGGACTAATTGGTTAGTCGGTCTAAGGCAGGGGTTTATCAAAAGTATTCTGTGCTAGAAATGTTATAGGCTCCTGTCTTGCTGGTTTTGAATGCTAGGTGTTACATCACAACTTTTTATGGGATTAGTAAAGGCAGAGAAATACAAAGAAGCAAAATATAAGCCTGAAGTTATCTATTCTGTGCTGCTTCAGTTGTTGTTGTTTTTTTAAAAAACTCTATAATAATAAACAAAGCATTATTATTCAAGTTCTTGGGGGGGGTACACCATTGAGATATAATATATACTAAACTGAACAGAAAATGCCATTAGGGAAGTGGCAAACCACTCACAGATATATATTTTTCATGCTAGATCAGCCTTCACCAGCCTGGTACCCTCCAGAGGTTAGGACTACAGTTCCCATCAGCCTCCAGCACTGTGCTAAAGAGACAAACTGAGCAGTTGTATTCAACTAACTTTTACTTAAGAGCAAACCTGTTACTAGACTTAAGTTATTCATGGCCATTAATTTCAATGGATCTACCCTGAATAAACCTAGCAGTTTGAAAGCATGTCAAAGTGCAAGTAGATAAATAGGTACCACTTTGGCGGGAAGGTAAACGGTGTTTCCGTGTGCTGCTCTGGGTCGCCAGAAGTGGCTTAGTCATGCTGGCCACATGACCTGGAAGCTGTATGCCGGATCCCTTGGCCAATAATGCGAGATGAGCGCTGCAACCCCAGAGTCGGTCACGACTGGACCTCATGGTCAGGGGTCCCTTTACCTTTACCTTTTTACCCTGAATAAAAGTTAGCTGAGCATCAGCACCAATTTCTAATACCTGACTGGAAGGCTTGCTATGCTTAAAAGCAGCAGCCAGAATGTTCCGTAGTGCTCCTTTTGCAAAGTATAGAGCTTGGGTAGCCAACATTGTGCTCTCCAGATATTGTTGGGCCACAACTCCCATCAGTCCCTGACAGCATAGCCACTTGTCAGGGATGATGTGAGTTGCATCCAACAACATTTGGAGAGCACTCCATTGGCTACCCTGGTACAGAGAAATGAGTTAATGGGAGAGTTTGTACAATCACCCCTCTGCTTCATAGGCTGAGATATCAACGAGCCTTTTGCCTGCACTTGCGGCCCCTTTATTCCTTCCTTCATGCAATCTGGCAAACCTACCAGGAAGTCTTCCATTTGCTACAGTTTCCCATTTCACTCAAACCAGGAAACTATGGTTAACAGCTTTAGAATATGGATTTTAACTCCAAACCATTGTTTTAATATTCTGTCTTGTTCTGAAGCTGTTGAGTTTCCCAGTTCAGACAAAACAGAAAACTGTAGTTAATAGGAGACTTTCTGATTTGTTTGCTAACTCACACAAAGGAAGGAGCAAAGAGACCACATATGTGGATGGGGGGCAGGATTTGTTCATATCTCAGCTTATCACAATAGACATCATACGCCTAGAAGCAAGGGCTTTTCATTCAGTGCATGTTGTCTTATGGCCACAGCACATATTGCAAAATAACTGTCTGCCTGGTTGAGCAAACCTTTCCTATGTTGACAGCCTGAGGCAGGTCTAATGCCAATTGGCATGGCTTTGCCCTCCACCCCTGGCATAGCTCTTAGCACTTGGGCAATCCTTTTCTTAATAACTCCCACGAAAAAGTGATGTTTGCAGACTCCTGTGGCTGAGATTCAAGAAAGGCAACTTCATATTAATAGCTGTTTACTTATACCTGTCCTGGGAAACAGTATCTTTTTGAGCAACTAGTCACTTAATAGGGGGTGGGGGAAACCCCAACTGTATAAAAATATGAGAATTCAGGGTAAAAAAAAGTGATGCTATCCTGTCACTTTTGAAAATGTTTTACAGGGCCTGGTACGTGGATGGGAGGCTTCTTGTTGTAACAGTGACGTTCTGTATAATCCTTCCCTTGTGTCTTCTTAAAAATTTAGGTAAGGATAGATACCTTCTTTAGTTTGAAGTATGGTTCTTAGACTTAATATTCAGGGTGTATTCCAATCATGGAAGGCCACATTCTGTTTCAAGCATATTCCTTAGCTCCAGAATAAACTATGCACAGGGAACCTTATAATATAAGAAGCCTAAGGTACAATTTGGTACTGTCTAATTTACATCTGGCTGTCTGAACCTGAGACAAAATAATGTCGTCGCTTGGTATTTTCTATTTCTGACCACTGATTATGGCCAAAAAAAGATTTCTTTCCCCCTGAGGCAATGTAAATAAAGTTGGCTAGTCTCTCTCCCTCTTTCTCTCTCGCTCTTTTAAAAATACTGTTAACATATATTTTGTTCCTAAAATAAGGGAAGGTTCTGTTAAACATCACCTTTAAGAAAAGGTGACCAATTCTACATAAAGCACAGACTAGTAAACACCTCGGGACATTCATTAGTCTAAGATATTTTTAATTGACTTTGACACTCACCAAGCCTGGCTCCAGAACCCTCTTTCCACAGTTTCGCTTTTTGCCAACCCTTCACTCCTTGCTCTGTACGAGGCCTCAGCAATTCAGCTTTTAGCTGCCTGTTGCTGCCATGTCTCCAGACAACCTTTCCTTCTCCAGAAGCCAAACTAGTGCACTGAAAAATGCTCATTTGTTTTTCATGGTATAATACATGATATTTAACTGGATTTCTCCATTCAGGGAAAACCCTATAGACTTTTCACTGTGTGTTTGAAGACAGGATAAGAATGTGACAACAACATTGTCTTTCACAGTCAAGAACCCTCTGCAATTCCATTTGATGTTTACTCCTTAATGAATCATCTTTCCTCTCGCAAAGATTGAATTGTTTGAGCCAGGATTCTAAAAATATAAAGATATGCTATCAGAACCATTGGTGTTACTCCTGCTTCAACATGGAGAAGCATTGTGTCCTTTTGAGTGACACAAATGGTTGTCAAAAATAAAAATCCAAATGAAAAGCTAACCATTTAAAAAAAATTATTAAAAAAAAATTTGATTGGATTGTTAAAATGGAATTTTTTTTTAAAAATTCTTTTTTTAAAAAAAGCTAACTAACAGTGCAGTCCTAACCATGTCTACTCTGAATTCAGTGGTAAATAGAGTTAGGTTTACACCAATAATTATTAACGTGTAAGTGCCTTTCGGTGGCACACCCCCCCCCACACACACACCTGCCACGTCACCCTGCTCCTGGTTATGTAACTATAAATCAACCAAATAAAAAACAATTTGGTCAGCTGGTGGTGCTAACCTTCTGCCATCCATATAGCTGCTGCTTACTAAGAAGTAGAGAGGGGGTGAGGTGGAGGGGAACTTGTGCCATTATAAACATACAGCAAGAACCAATCTGATGCTGTCATCAGTGTGTTTGCACCGTGCTGACTTCATTGCTGCCTCTTCCTCTACCTCCTGGTAAGCACGGGCAACATGGGTGACAGAAGGTCAGGTCAACTCCCCTGCCAGCTGCTCCTGGCTTTGTCTGAAAGCCAGTGTCTTTGAAAAGTATTTGTGACAAAAGTGGCATAGGTATTCCCCGCATGTTATTGGAATATGTTCCATATTATTCACCAGAACTTAAAACATTTAACCTGTTAGTAATTTAATAAATGTGAATGAGTTGCTGGATAAGTTTTCCTTTGATTTTATCTCAGGGTATCTCGGCTACACCAGTGGATTTTCCCTGACTTGCATGGTATTTTTTCTCATAGTGGTAAGTTTTGCTTGGTGTTTCGGTTAGAATGAAATTATTAACTTCCAGCATCAAGTCATTTGTTTTGGATATTTTTTCAATGGTGGTCCTTTATCCCAGGTTGTATACAAGAAATTTGAAATTCCTTGTCGCCTGGATGAGAAAAATGCCACCGCACCTCTGTCTCCAAACTCTAGCATTGCCTATGTGGATACGTGCCAACCCAAGTATGTCACCATTAATTCCAAGGTACGTTTCTTTCCATACCATTTTGTCATTTTGTTCCACATGCCAGCAGCTAGACTGTGCAAGAAATCCTAGACAAACGCAAGTTTTCCAACCAGAGCAAATTACATTTTTACCTAGGTTTTGTTTCCAAGGTTGAAGAGTTCAAAGACCTGGGGAAAATTTTGACAATAATTCTGAACAGCAGATTGCATAGGAAAATAAGTGCAGCCAATCAGATGTAATAATCATATTAGCAGCAACACCAACACTATACAGTGGTACCTCGGGTTAAGTACTTAATTCGTTCTGGAGGTCCGTACTTAACCTGAAACTGTTCTTAACCTGAAGCACCACTTTAGCTAATGGGGTCTCCCGCTGCCGCCGCGCCGCCGGAGCACGATTTCTCTTCTCATCCCGAAGCAAAGTTCTTAACCCGAGGTACTATTTCTGGGTTAGTGGAGTCTGTAACCTGAAGTGTATGTAACCTGAAGCGTATGTAACCCGAGGTACCACTGTAGTTTCCCTTGTATTCAAACATCATTGTATATGCTTGTTATTTAACAGGTGTCCCCAGTCCCATGAAAGCCATGTTTTTCTAGGCAGAGCTCCTAAGGTTTCAAATCATGGCAAAAACGCAGTAGGTTGGATCCAAAGGTTTCCATCCACAAACAGAAAGACACCTTTCATCAGAGCAAGGGAACCTTTGGATTCCATTCCATTTCATGGGACTTTCCTGGTCATTGCACTGCAGCGCTGGGCACCGCTTCACATGATATGCAACTATAAAAAAAACCAGGAACCCCGCCAGACCAAAACGTTGACAATCCCGGTTGAAGAGCACAGAAAATTCAAACTTGTATATTGGAAACGATGATGATTTTCTTAATGACATTTGGAGGGACTACGTCTCTCCCTCCTGACTCATAGTTTTGTTTTTGTTTTCCAAACAGACCGTGTACGCTTTGCCTACCATTACATTTGCATTTGTGTGCCATCCCTCGGTCCTTCCAATCTACTGTGAACTTAAAGAGTAAGAGAGAAACCATTGTTTTGTTATTAAAGCAAACTGCTTTGTCTGTAGAGCGTTGGTACTGAATTGCACTCTGCACTGCTAAGAGAAAATAACTTTAATTTGAGAAAAGCAGCAGGACCTGCTCGTCATCTAGGAAGACTTGGCTCACCCAGGGGGGTTGAGGGTGGCAACATAACAAATATGGGGCTCTCCTTAGATCTACACAGCTGTTAGCAGAGACAGAAACAGTGTGAACAATCACTTTATACAAGGCAATGCCAAAGCGCAGCCAATAACTGGTGTCTGTCTCAAAGGCAGCCATATCTGGTACAGGAGCTAGCAGCATTGTCGATGTTATTTTCTGGAGCTTTCAATCTTATATGCTTTATACTAGCTTCCATTTTCAAAAAGAAAGAAGAATTGCTGCCAACATGGTGCTACTTACAAGAGCATTTGGAAGGCAAAAGTTTGCTGAATTCTGAGATTAGCTGGGGCCTCCTCTGTTTTGTGAATGTGTGGACCATATAAAAACTCCTTAACCTTACATAGATTTCAGGATCATTTCAAAATGTTGGTGCCCCAGGAATCTCCAGCTAGAGCTGGCACCTCTATAATTATGCAATGTTCCTATAATGGATTCATTTATAGAAAGATAGTGGACTCCTCACAGGAACTGCTTAACTGAGGCAGACTAATAAGTCATCTAGTCTGGTGGTCTGTACAGTGGCTGGCAGCCCCTGCCCTGAACTGCTGTTTCCTAGAAACCAAAAGTGTTAGTTATCTCTAAAACAAGCAAACCACATGGACCTTTCCTTACTAGATTGGACTTGATACTCTGTTGCAATCTCTGTAGCAGAGAGGGGGGAAATTACCACTCCCCACCCAGGAATCAAGGGCTCCCTAAATTAATTGGAGATTTGTTTTCCTGGTCTTCGCTAAACTTTAAAAACCACAATGCCATTGTTATCTCTTTTTACCTTAATTGTGTGGGCTTCAAACCTTAATTGTTGTGTTAAGTAAAAGGGTCATGGTTCCTTACATATAGGGAAAGCCACCTATAAACCAGCCCTTTAATCGTTACCATTTCAAGAAGGTGGACAATGAAGTGGTATGGTGTGGACAGTTGTTTACCCCAAACCATTCCCGTACAGTGCTCCTCCTTGAGATCTCAACGGTCTTCAGACTTGTTCCTGTTAAATGGCATACATTCAAGTATAGTTCCAATTATTCCATAACTTCTCCCATTGCCCCATTTATTTATTTTCAGTCGTTCGCAGAAGAAAATGCAGATGGTTTCAAGAATCTCTTTCTTCGCCATGTTTGTCATGTACTTCTTGACTGCTATTTTTGGCTATTTGACATTTTATGGTAAGTGACTATTTTTGGCTACTCACCTCTTGTGCTTTTCAGTACATTTAGAGAAAAAGAAACTAAAAGGTGTGTTTGTTTGTTTCTGTCTGTTTTCTGAATTTTGTAAATGGTCGAAGTGCTGCTTTCTTGTTTCCTCACCGTGCACAGAACGTAACGTCAAAATTGAGATATATTTTGCTCATTTGAAAGTGGCATTTCCTTGGCCCTTGACATCATACTTGCATTCCCAAGTGTTTGGGGGCAGGGAAGTACACAAACCAGAGCACTGCCCCCAGTCATTTCATTCTTAGCAGGAGGGGAGGAACATCTGCCTGGGCCCACTGGGTAGGGGTGGAGCAGTTATCCTAGCTTCTTATTTACAAATAAAACGACTGTTTAAATTGTCCTAATATCCCAAGTTAAAATAATTTCATAAATTTATTTGTAAAATGTCACTTTTTTGCATTGTTTGTGCTTGCAACCTGTTTGATTTAAACAGGGACTAACTGAAGCAAATGCTCCGAGTATTGGGGCTCTTTTCCTCTCACTTCCTCGCTGCGTTCAGGCCCAGGCAGATTGGTGGCTCACACCCATACTGGACATTAGCACAACTGGGAACTGAGCTCCACTGAAATGAATGGGACTTACTCTCTGGCAAGTGTACACCAGGTTTCAGGCTGAATTTGATCTTTGCGGTTCAGTGGAGCATGAATTAAAACACTGTTTTCAATCCAGGCTGCTCCACCGCCATCCCTGTTGCCTGCAGATTAATCACTTGTTGTTTGAGGTGGCTCTTGCCAAGTGACAGCTTCTATGAATTAATTGCTTAATTGCTGGAACAGTTCTCTCTTTGTCTTCCCTGCAGAAACCGTGTCGTCAGATCTGCTTCACAAGTATCAGAATAAAGATGACATCCTCATCTTGACAGTCCGTGTTGCTGTCATAGCTGCAGTCATCCTCACAGTCCCAGTGTTATTTTTCACTGTAAGTCTGAGGCTCCTGTTCACTTGGAGATGTCTTACCATTTCCTAGGAACAACTATCAGATTGCTGCATAGATTCATTTAGATTTGGTCCTGCTGACGGTGGCCTACAGTTTAAAATCAACCCCCTGCCCCACCCCCAGAAAAAGTGCAAGTAAACAATAGCAGTGCCATGAAGTCCTGAGCCACCCCAGAGCCAGTGATCGTGGCATGGATGTTGAAGTCCCCCATAACCAGCAGTCCTAGAGTCCTCAACACTACCTCCAAGACCAGCTCTTGTCAGCTCAGGCAGGAAAACTGCTGGGCAGTGAAGCAGGTGATAAACTAGCAGAATCTGTCCTGATTGCCCTTAAGTGGCTCAGAACCGCCCCATCCCATTTGAACTGACCTGGACCCTGCAATCATCATCTGAAGCCCTTCTTTGTGTGCCTCCTCCGTGAGATGTCAGGAGGGTGGCAACATGAGAACGGGCCTTTTCTTCAGTGGCTCCCCATTTGTGGAATGCTCTCCCCAGGGAGGCTTGCCTTTAGGTGTCAGGCAGAAACATTCATCTTCTTACAGGGCTTTGGCTACATTAAGCAATCTGTAGCCTTTTAAACTCTGGGGGTATTGCTTTTGTTTGCTATTATTCTTTATATTGTTGTGTTTTTTATATTGTAAGCTTCCCTATGATCTTTGGATATAGGGCAGCATAGAAATTTAATTTAAAAAGCAAATAAATTAATGCAGGATAGTGCCTGTGAATTCCTAAGTGGGCACTATCCCATTCCACAGTATGGGCTCAGTTAGCCAGCGGAAGGCAGAAATGTGACATATCTTGGTGCAGGAAAATGTTCATCCTTTCCTGTTGTGAGTCTGATTTGCTAAGCTCTATGAGAGGAAGAATGAATTTCATCCTGGCAGAAGAGTAATTAATTTTGACACTAGAACAAATGATGTTAACATAAAAAGCCTGCAGCTGTAATAAATAGCATCTGGTGGAAATGCAGATAGTATGTTCTCTCTCTCTTATACTCACAAACACATTGCCATGTCTAACAGTGCAATCCTAACCAAGTTTTCTCAGAAGTAAATACTGTTGAATTCAAAAGAGCTTACTCCCAAGTAAGTGATGTTAGGATTGTAGCCTAAGTTCTCTAGAATGAATTTGGAGTCAAGCAAATCTTAAGTGCATTATACAAAACCATGGAGGGAATTAGTAAGGGAAATTATGCAAATTTTGATTGCAATAGCTCTTTTTTTTTCTCTTTACAGGTGCGTTCATCTATATTTGAGCTTACTAGAAAAACCAAATTTCACTTGTGCCGTCACGTTGTGGTTACGGTGATCCTTCTGGCGATCATTAACTTGTTAGTTATTTTCATACCTTCCATGAAGGATATTTTTGGAGTTGTAGGTACAGTATTCAAATTATATTTGATTAAGAAATGCCTTTTACTGTGGGTCACATCAACTAGTCTGTTATAACAAAATCTATGTGCTTGGTTTGCCACAGGGGTAACTTCTGCCAATATGCTGATTTTTATTCTCCCGTCATCACTTTATTTAAAAATCACCCACCAAGATGGATCAAAACTGATTCAGAGGATTTGGGTAAGTTTCAGAAATCAGGAGCTATCTCAAGCTTTGTCCCAGTAGCCATCCCTAAACTATGTCTGAAACTAGTCCTCCAAGAGCATAAAATATTTCTGCTTGGCTTTGATGAACGTTCTCATTTGGTTAACCTGTTTATGAAAATAAGTTCTGCTAGCTGAACTACTTTTCCCCTTTTGGTTCTAGGCCTCTCTCTTTTTGGCATTAGGAGTAATGTTTTCCCTGGTGAGCATTCCTCTCGTCATCTATGACTGGGTGCATTCAGGAGACACTGCTGAAGGCCACTGAAGTTAATGGGACATTAAGAAGAATACACTTCCATTTTGCTACTCACACCAAAATCATTATTGTCCCATTTTGGTAATATGCCCATCCACTCTTTGTGAGTATCCTTCATGAACTCAAAACAATGGAATACCAGTAGGATGCGATGTTCTACTGTGGGTTGCAGCCAACTAAGTATTACTCAAGAGTAGTCCCACTGAAATTAATGGATACAAATTAGTCATGCCCATTGATTTCAGTTGGTCTACTCTGAATAGGACAAGCATTGGCTGCAACCCAATCATTTTATGTTACCTTATTTTAAATGTTATCCTTCATGTTCCCACAAGCTACTGGATCAGTATTAAGTTTATGGTGGTGGTCAGTACAATTTTGCATACTCATAGATTTGTCCATTGGCCATTGGTGTTCTGTGTATGGTAACTGACACTAAAATAATTGAGGTTATATACTTGCAAATTAATATATAAATTTGTTTTCAACTACAATCAGTTAACCAGCCTTGATCAAACTAGAGTCCACTTCCTGGAGATAAGTTTACCTCTATCTGATTGTTCTTGTCCAGCAGTGTGCTTAGTGGATAGATAATCTACCATTAGGTCACATATGTACGTAATCTATAGGGTCTTTGGTATCCGTGAACAAAGCCTGTACACTATTAAGCCTTAGCAGATCATCCCTACCAGAAGTTGTCTTTTGCACACTCAGTTTGTGAGTTCCATGTATGCATGTTTGGTTTATTTTTAAAGAAATGGTTTGTGTTCAGATAGTTGTCCCCTGGGGATGTGAATAAATTCATAAGGTTGATTGCTGCCAATTATAGAACTGTTGATTTCAATCTGGAACTGCGGAGGTGGTGGCTTCTTAATGAGCACTCAGTCTGGAAGGATGTCCTAGAAAAGAAGGGAAGATTTGCCTAGACTTTGGCCCAGGAGTTTAAAAGCAGGATACACTTCTGAATCACAAATGGTTATGAAGCTGAACATGAACAGACTCAGAACGGGTGTTTGTCTCAGCCAAATAAGTGGTCTGACAATCATTTGAAAGCAATGCCACAAATAAAAGCCCTGATGGAACTTCAGGAAATGGACCTCAGGCCGACCACTGAAAAGTGAACATGCAGAGCTACGGCAAGCTTTCAGGTGAACAGAGCAGACCCTGTTCCCTCTGAAATTTGCCATTGGTGAAGGCAGCTATCACCAGAACACTATGAAGGATTGCAGTGGAGGTCACAGACAGACATCTTAACTGCCAGCCCTTGGTAGCTTTTGCGTATTGTGTTAGAAATTCTTGCATGTGTATTTCCCAGTTTGCATTTGAGTTTGTGTGGTGGGTGTGTATGCTATAGTGTAGCAGGCAGCCAGGCTCCACAGGGTTATAAAGTACACTTGGCTGTATCCCCCCATGAACCTTACAGTGGAGGCAGGGAAATCTCTCTCAGCCTGACGAGGGAGAAGAGTTTGATGAAAAGCCACTGCTTAAACAGAGTGGATTGTAGGCAACCATTTACCAACTGGAAAGTTAGCGGTTTGCATATATGATGCATGTTGTCCTTTCAAATGATAAGGAGAATCTTACCACATATCAAGCGAAGATGTGCAGGAATTGATCACCTGTATCCAACCTCATTCAGCCTCTGTTCTGATGACAGGATCTATGGGAATTAGAATCTGTATCAGCAGCCTTCGACTTTTTCAGACTCAGTCTCATCTTTAAACTTAAACTCTTTGTAGATTTAAAAGCTCTTGAGTATTTCTCCAAAAAGCTGTGCCCCGTTTTCTAGATTGCATTGATAACAGTATCTCTTGGATTGAAGCTTTCAGGCAGTGAAATGAAAGCAAGCAGGTTCAGGGGTGATTGAAGTGTATGACAGATAAATCTCCTTGGTGCCATAGTGATATTTGTAAATTCAAATGTTTAGTTTTTTGCACACTACACACCCACCCACCCCACAAGAATATAAAGCTTAAAGGGAGAGTGTACCAGCAAGGCTGAGAAATAGTAAAAGAACTACTGAAGAAGTCATAAGTTCCATCTCAGTGCCTTGTAAGGAAATACAGTTTGAAAACCACCTCAAGCAATTAAATGTAACATGACAGAGAAACTGGGGAGACTTTGTTCTCCAGCCATTGTCCACAGAATACAGAAAGTTGTAACTGTCTTCAGTCTGAAGGGTCACAGGATGATCTCTCTGCATACACAGATACCCCCACACTGCCTGTTAAGCTGCTCCTAAAACTCAAGAGACTAGCCTTCAATTGAGTAGAAGGATCTGTGGTCCATTAAAAAAGAAAAGAAAACAATGACATGTATGCCTGTGTGTATGTGTGTGCTCTCTTGGTTGTAGCCTGAGTTACTGCAGTGCCTGTTATCCAATATAGACACCTGTATTTCTTCTTTTAAAAATAAAATAAAATCATTATAATTGCATTTGAGGTGTTCTGCAATGAAAATTTCTGGATCACAGTTATCCACCCTTTGGATCAATCAGTGTTTGTTTTATGCAGTTCAGGCTCTAGGACAATTATCCTACTGATATTCAGCCCACCTGTATATTTTTTAAACCAAAACTCATGATAAACTGTACATATTTCATAGTACTATTTCATAACTGCTTTTATAAATATTTTGCCTTTTCGGAATGTGTAGGACTTTAGAATGTGATATTATTTATCATTTCTGCAAAGTGCTTTATAGATAGTATCTTGTTCATCTGCAAAACCACATTGTGAAGTAGGTCAGTTAAGAGTTCCCTATTGCAGAGTGGAGGCCAGGGAAGGGAATGAATTGTCCATGGCTGAGCAAGGATTTGGACTTAGATCTCCAATTCAAGTCCAGCATTTTGTCCATTAGACTATTTTGAAGGATGGTACAAAAAGCAAGTTGCTGTTGGGTTCAAACTGACACATGAAACTGTGTACTAGGTTTTGTTTTTGTCTTAAATGCTGATGTAAAATGGCCTGGTGATTCCTAGAGACACTTGGGATTCACCATAATATTGTGATATGCTTGCAAATAAATTACCAAATGGATGAGTAATGGAGAATAATAAGTACACCAGGTGTTAGGGATGGGGTAAGTCTCAGGGTCTTGAGATGAGATTCACAGGAAGATTGTCAACATTAAGTGATAGTTGGTTCCCCTCAGTTTGGGAATAACTATAATTTTGCCAGTGGTGTAGCACATTTCAAGCAAAGCTACAACATCCAAGCCATTAATTCATTGCCCAGGCTATCTTGATGATGATAAATTCTAATTAAAGCTACAGCATAATTGATTTTTTAGGTCACAGTTCCAGCTTTTTGGTTTTCTACGCCAGCCTCAATTTACTCCTTCCCTATCCTTCTTTTGTGCATGTTGATATTGACTAGGAGCTCTGTTTTTATTAACTTGAATTGTTTTAAAAGGGGATTAGGAGGGGAAATCATGGAACGTAAGTCTATCAACAGCTGCTAGCCAGGATTACAAAGCAGAAGCTCCATGTTCCAAGACAGGGAATGCAAATTATTGAAGGGCAAGAGAGGGCTGGTGCCCTTCATTACCTGCTGGGACGATCTCCTAAAGGCCTCTAATGGCAAACAGGATGCTAGACTAGGTGGGCCATTGGAATGATTTAGCAGGGGCTTAATAGCTGGCTATAAAGGTCTTTTCCAACCTTAGCTGATAAAGCACAGTACATGTGCAATTGCTGTAGAGGATCCAAATACCGCCCCATACAGCAGTATGTCTGTTGCAGGAATGTCATGTTTCCCCATCACAATAATTTGTCCCTGGGAGTGGGGAGAGAAAGGGAGGGGGAAAGCAATGGGTAGCAAAACTTGCTCCCAGTTGCATTGCATATGACGTTGCACTATTGCTTGAAAACCAAATACAATCCGGATGAAATACAGACACGGATATTACATATGCCTTTGCTTGGTCCCCCAGTTCCACAAACTTCTTTCTGAACTTTGGACAATATCACAGTAGAATGTATTGGCTTAGGTGGGTTGTTAAAAACCTCTCAGATCTCCTCTGTCCAGGGATCTTTCTTTATTCGGAAGTGAGCATTCCTGAGAGTGCTTGGCATCAGGAAAGCATTTCCTTTTGTTTTGGTTTTTTAAAACAACAACACAAAACTGAATGTGCCCGTTGTTTCTCAGTGTAAGGCCTTCTGTTATCAAATGTGATGATAACATTGAATGCCTTTGTCAAACACAGGGCTGGCAGGACCTTGATACTCACACGCTGTACATATATCCCCTAAGTCTGATTTTTTAAAAACAGCAGCAGCAACAAAAAGAATCTATGCAGTTGTGTTGTATTGTAGGAAACATTTCATTTGTGTATGTATATATATATATTGTAAATAAATAGGATGCTTCTATTTTTGCAGTTGTGTATTCCGTAAAATGAAAGTGCTGAGGTAGTTTGTCCATAAGAGTTATTTAAAAAACAAAAAAAGTGTTTGTAGCCAAATCTGAATAGTAGCATCAAAGCCTTAGCTCTCGACTTCACTGAATTTGTCCTCTCCCACTTTTACTCTGTCCAGTTCTATTCTACCATGTAATGAAGTTGCCTAAAGCAAATCCTAAGCTTATATAATGGTGTTGTTTACTGTAGCACATTTCTAAGAGCACAACTCAATGAACTGCCATACTTTGCTACTATCTGCCGTATATTTCTCTTTGTTAACTGGAAGTAAAATGTAATCCTTTTTCAGTGCCCTCTAACCTTCTATGAATCTATGCTGTGATACAGAGCTTCATGTGTGCTTGGATGTGTCCATAAAAAAAGAAACTACCTTATATCGGCTCAAACCATTGGCCCATGTTTACCCATTTCTCTCTGCTCTAAACTGGCAACCGTTCCACAAAGTCCAAGGAAGAGGTTTTCCTCTGCTGCTTGAGATCCTTCAATTAGAAGTGAACCTGAAGCAATATGCATGTGGTCCACCAGTGCGCTTGTGGTTCATCCATCCCCTACATACAACACTTCCAGTCCCCACTAGACACTTTAGCTATACATTGGGAAGGGGGGCTGCTTGCAGACTCAACCACAATAGATGGAATGCATCAAGTTCTGCTGTTGAAAAGACTCTCATTTTAAACATTCATGTATAATAAAGGATATTAACAGCAATGGATGCAAATGGAAAAACTTCCATGTTGCGTAGTGATTTGTGGCCAACAGTGCAACCACTAAGCTGGAATACTAAAGGATCCTCAAATGATGAAATTCTAAAGACACTATAAGAAGTAGCGGGGTGGGTAGGTGGGTGTGAAGGCAGCCCCTGTACAGAGCAGGCGATTTTATATAAAATGTCAACACTGCTTATTAATCTAGCGCTGGGTTCAGTACAGTATTTTGAGGGCAAATGAGCTGCAGGGGGCAGGGAGTGGCATTTCTTTGTTGTCGCTTGGGCCCACCCAAAAAAGCACCATAGGCCTGTGTTTGTGAGTGTGCACACATACCATAGCCCTCTTAAGCTCTGAATCACAGCCTACAAGTGGGATCAGTTTTGTCAAAGATAGTTTTCTATGAGAGCCCAAGGAAATTATGCACCATGTTCAAAGAAGCACTGAAGGCCATTTTGCTAGCAGCATTGATTGATTGATTGATTGATTGATTGGTCTGTTTGCTGGGACATAAGCCAGGCCTTAAGTAGAACTGTGCTATGTGGCAAGCTGACTGTGTGCTCTCAGCACAGAGATGAATCTTACCAGCTGAATTGGTCCTTAATTTAAATCAAAATTGTAGTCACAAATATCTTACGTAACGTATTTTTAAAGCTGGAGTACCTTGTTATTCAGTATTTCAGTGTTGTCCTACTGATTTCCAATGGATCGTTATACATTTACCAGGCTTATTTTGTGAGTATGAAATGGCAGGACCTGAAGCAGCACAATTTTCAAACCAGCACAAATATCAAATGTAGGGGTGGGGGTATGTAAGCTCTTGCTTTTTAAATTACTGCATTGTTTATTCTCTAGTGCTGCAGATAATCCAACAAATTCGGTTTAAAAAGTGAAAAATATCCCATTAAGAACTGAATGTACATTGTTTACATTAAACCAGTTTTCTAAAGTCCTAAGCTATGTTTTAAGCTGAGTGGTGTCCACTCAGGTTATTAAAAAAATACTATTAGAAACATTTTCCTCTGGCTTCTGTGTCATTGTTATCTGTGCTGTTCATATTTAATGATATACATGTAAATGGTGATCTGTGTAAATAAAAACAATGTAATTCTGGAATTTTCTGTTTTCAGTATAATTTTTAAACATAAAAGTATGGTCTGAAACAATTAGATGCATTAATTTTAAGAGAAGATTTAGATCCATTAACCACACTTTGGGTGTTAATGGCCTAGTGTTCCTCAACATGGGAGTGAGGACACAACACTTAGTCTTCGAAAGAAAAGTGCAACCATTGGTAGTAGCAGCCTGTTGTCTTGTAGACATTTTGGACTACAAGTCCCATCATACCCAGCGGGAATTGTAGTCCAAAAGTCTAGAAGGCAACAGGTTGTGGAAGTCTGGTCTACAATAATTGGGTCTTCACTCACACAGCTGTACACAAAAATGCTATGCTGAAATGCTGTTTTAATGAAAAGCAGGGAGCAAGGTGACTCGACACATCCCAGATACTGCCCTCATGTTGACCAATGAGAGCATTAGCTTCAAAACAGAGCTTCAGTTGGACAAGCTGAAGTAGCAGTATTAATGCTAGGGTTTTCCTCTGCCTTGGTCAAGAGGGAAAACGCAGGAAATGTATGCTGCACAGTTTTGTCAAGTTTAACCTTCATCCTGAACCAGCTCTGAAATGGATAACAAACCGGGTATCCAGGAAGGATATGATGTATGATGGCAGAACAACAACTGGTCATTTGCAACCTTTAGGATGGTGACTAAGGTCTTTGTATTCCAGGGGGTGTTTAAGATGACAGGAATTGCTGTCTGCTCAGCTGAAGCTTTTATGGCTCCTCCTCTGGGAATCTTTGATCAGGTTTGCTATTCTGAAACTTCAGCCTTCATTTTAGCTGGCCTGGCATCATATTTGGGCAGCTACTGAGTCCCAGGCTATCTAGTAGGTCCTGCGTGTCTGCCTCTCCTCCCTCTATCCAGTGGCACTGCCACCAGTAGTACTATCAATAGGACTCACTGCACCTACAAAAATGGCGATAATAAGAGAAAACTGATACACAAGATCATTGACATCTCAATGTTGGTGCACAAGTTATTTAGATATTCAAAGGTGCCCAGTGGTTACATACACTTGCAAACAATAAACAGTTATAATTGTGGGAGAAAGGTAGATAATTAAATCCTCCAGCTCTCCTCAGCCCTGCTCCCATCCGTTTTAACCAAAACATACGCCACCTCCCCTCCCCATTGCTTAAAAACAGTCACTAACAGCATGATCCTAAACATATCTATGCATAAGTATATCCCATTTAGTTCAATGGGGCTTGTTATCTGGCGAATGTGCTAAACCATGGCTCTGTGGATTTTGTTGGGCTACAGCTCCTCTTATCTCTGACTATTGATTATGCTGGCAGAGACTGATGGAAATTGGAAGTCCAACAATATTCAGAAAACCACAGGTTCCCTACCCCTGGTGTATAGGATTACAGCTAAAGGAGCTGGTTGGTGGCCCTCTGACTGGCAACAGCTCTCCAGGATTTTAGACAGATTTTCTCCCAGTCCTACCTAGGACCTTCTGATCTGTTGCCCTTCCCCTTAAAGAAAGGGTATCTTCATATAGGAAAAGCCTTCCATGTCAGCCTCAAAAGGCAAGTCTGTCAGCTTCCTAAAGATTCTCAGATTATGCTTGACAGTTCTAAGAAGGTAATGGGGCTGAACAATGAATTTTCTACTGGGAATATCTAGGCATATTCCCATAGCTCTGAAGCCATAATTCTGATCCGAAGGACAATTGGACATATTAATGGACCAATCTTTTCAAACATGTTTAATTTTCATCACTGAAGCTGTAGTCTGAACTCCTGGGAGAAAGTCCCATGAAATGTAGTCAGACTTACTTCTGAATATGTGGTTTGAATTGTGCTATGAGGTAGAACTCCTTGCATTTATTCTTGTTTGTGAAAGTTCAATGGTCATGTGCAATAACTGTAAAGAACTGGTTTATTTCACCCCTTTACAAATGCAGCCTTTCAAAGCTTAGTTTAACCAAGACTTTTCAAAGTAGACTTCTGAAATGCATGATACCCACTTTGATTAATTTCCCCCTTCCAGCCATTTTTTGTTGTTTACTTTGATTGGGTGGAGTGCTGATTACCTCATCTATTCTAATTAGCACATTGTGGATGGCTTAGGTTAGAAGAGATGATTCACTGGAGCAATGCCCTATTTTTCATGGACTTCTGCTTTCATTGAGGCTGTGTTTCATGGATATTACACACACACACACACACACACAAAATTCACATTTGTCTTCTAGTTTTCTTCACCACAAGAGTGTAACGAAAAGCATTCTCCCATCCAATGCCAATCTTTAATTAGACTTTGCAAGTCTTAAAATGGATTTTCTCCCCTTACTTAGTAAGTCATGAGGCTCTATGCTTCCTATAAGCCTATAAAGACAGAATTTTCTTCTTTGTTGCTTTTTATTTTATAAAATCATTTGTATTCTGCCTCTCTGAACATAGCCCACCGTGAGCAGCAAACATAAAAAATAATGCATATAAAAATAAGATCATCTTAGGTAGCATCTTAGGCCTCATGCGGCTGAGAATTTATTCTGGTGAAATGTCTAAATGGTTATTTCGGCAAAATTAACGAAGTTCATTTATTTGTCTGCAAAGCTATTTTGACTGCAAGAGCTGCTGTTCTATGTCTGATTGAGTGCAGGGAAATAACTTTGCTTCCATGGAAACAAATCTCGCCTGCTGATGGTGAGTAGATGGGACCATACTTTATGCTACCAAACTCTGCGGCTAGCAAAGTTTTCCCATACATTTTTTGCTATACAGATCAGCCTTACTCAACCCAGTGTCCTTCAGATGTTTGGATCCAGGACTCCCATCTTCTACAGCCATAATGGCCAATGGTCAAGGTTGGTTAGAGTTTTAGTCTTGAAACACCTGAAAGGCGCTAGATGGTGGAAGCCTGATATAGACAAATATATCATTACATAAAATCACTACCTCCTTTGAGAGTTCTAGCCTTAAGCATCATGGAACAATCACTAACTCGGTTTCTCTTTTAGTAGCCCAACAATTTCCTCATGTGTGACTGAGGATATTTGAATTCTGGTGTTGTTATATTTATTTTCCCAATGGTTCATTACTTTCCCCCCTGCGAGTTACGGTTTCTAAAAAAAGCAGCTGCAATAGCTTTTCAGTTGTAGCAGTATTAGATAAGAACTTGAGTATTGTTTGCTCTCTTCCTAGAGACAAATTATGTTGTGTATATTGATATCTTTGGGGTAACTGAACAGGCGTCATTACATACGTCAAACTACATCCTTTAATTGCAATGAGTAAACTGCAACATGAACTCCAGGTAGGAAATGTTCACTTCTCTAGAAGAACAAACTTACCCTTTGCCAAAAGAAGGGACAGAATATGTCAAACATTTCTAATACTTGCTCTCCAAAGTTATTTAACAGCATTCTGGTCACATCACTCTACTGTATAAATGTGTTGTGCAGAACTTTGTTGTTACATCTTATTAAAGAACTGAGCCAAGAAATCCAGACATGTTGAATATCACATAGCCTGCTGTTTCATCAGTGCTGGTTTGGTCAAACAGTGCTGGTTTGGTTAAAAAAAAAAGTATAGCAGAAAGGACAATGAAAATAGGAAAAATGTTTTCTATGCAAATACCGGTATATATTGGTGTGTAGGCAAGGATGTAACTAAAAACTAATCATCTAGCTAAAACATATATTTTGCAACAAACACTGTGCAGTCTGCACTCGACCTGAACTGGGTCTCACTTGCCACCAGTGATGTTTGGAAGCTTATGGATAGGCCTAATGAAATGTTGATACAAATTATAGTTATTTCTTTGCAGATATATGACCACAATGTAACAATTGTGTAGCCATTAAGTATATTTTTATCATCTCAGAATGATCATGTCTGGTTTAAAGTCTGTTTTCCTTGTATCCTTTATTTTTAAGCAATTATGTAAAAATTGATTTAGAAAATTGTTTTACTTAGGGGCCCCTCATAATCTGTAATTTACTGTAGCTTACTGGCACTGTCCAGTATCATAAGCGATAAAAATGCTGTCTGGAAGGGCCCTTAGGCTGCAATCCCATACAGCTGTATCTGGGAGTAAGTCCCATTGAACTCATTGGGTCTAACTTCTGAGTAGATATGTATAGGAATACACTATTAGTCTGCATTCAAACTAGTGGGAGCAGTTTATTTTCTTTGGATAACCTTCCAGCAGCTCTCATTTAAATTAATAAACAATATTCTCAGGAAACATGATAAACTGATTGTTGTTGGACTTTGATCTCAGTGAGCAATTAACTGGCATGCTTCTGGCAGGGGTCAGCAAACTTTTTCAGCAGGGGGCCGGTCCACTGTCCCTCAGACCTTGTGGGGGGTCGGACTATATTGGGGGTGTGTGAACAAATTCCTGTGCTCCACAAATAACCCAGAGACGCATTTTAAATAAAAGCATACATTCTACTCATGTAAAAACACCAGGCAGGCCCCAAAAATAACCCATAGATGCATTTTAAATAAAAGGACACATTCTACTCATGTAAAAACACACTGATTCCCAGACCGTCTGCGGGTCGAATTTAGAAGGCGATTGGGCTGGATCCGACCCCCAGGCCTTAGTTTGCCTACCCATGCCATAGGGCCATGTTCTTCATGCAAGAAGATAATCCAAAATGTTCCCATCTGACGCAATAAGATCCAGAGATATTGACATAAGCAGGAAACATTATTTGCTTTATTGCAACATCCTCCTTGGCATTTTTTCAAAAAGAAAAGCTTTCTTTTCACATCAGCCAAACAAAGGTTATCTTGGGGAAATGTAAATAAGAAGCTACACGGTAGTTTAGAGTTTCACTTATATCCATGACAATTAATCAGAAAATAGGACCAAACTCATTTAAAGTTTTTTCATGACTGATCTGAGTTCCACTTCCTGTTTTACAATTAATCTAACAAGAGCTCCAGAGAAAGTGATGTAGCAACCTGACACTGCTACAATCTGACTACTTGTAGAAATGGTTCAGCATGCTGTCTGGGGGCAATGAGATTCCTTAATTCAAACCTCGCCTCCAACATAAACACACACACTAAGCAGTCATCAAGGGGAATTATACACAACCTTAAATACATCTTTGCATCCAAAGTCTGTGGGGTATTCAGTTGTATATTTAACCCCTTAAGTAGAATTCCCCTCCCTCAGTGGCCATTTTGTGGTTGTGTGAAAGAAGTTGTATGAATCTGCACTAACCAACCCTCTTGTGTCTCCCCCCCATCCCAAATAACATTGCCATTCAATGGAAAATGAAGTCATGCTAGTTATCACTTGATTTGCCTCTCTCTCTCTCTCTCTCTCTCTATATATATAGTTACCCTGCATAGCTTTTCATTCAAATGGTGGCCCCGGTGTGAAATAATATAGCAGGCTTTATATCTGTAACAATGCACACAGAGACATTCCAGAAAGGAAGCAGCTAAAGGATATAGTAGAATTTAAATAAATAGCCCTGATATAATACACAGATGTGCACTGTGTACTATTTTTGATGCCTGCTGAAATCTTTGGCTAGGTTTTTCCCTTGGCTTTTAAATGCAGAATTTGGCTAAATAGTTTCATTAACTGGCTTACATTGATTACAGCCCATTACTAAACACGTAGCATCTCTGACTGCAAACAAGAACAACCCTCTTTCAATGGAGTAGTATCATATTTTGTGACACTGTTTTGGCACATGAGTTGGTCCAAACCATGCCAAGAAGATTTTATGACCCACAAACCTACGCTCTCGCTAAATTTTAAATATGTTTGTCATTCACAGTTGACAGGTTTGTAAGAGAGAAACCCATACAAAATATCTTATTAATGGTGTGATGTACTGCCATCTTGTGGCAGCATTTCTGCAACAGAGGTTCAGGATTCTACAGTGTGAAAATCACATAAGAAATTTCACTGAACAAGAGACCACAATAAAATAAGGATATATATCCAACTAGCAAAGTACTGAGTGTTTCTTTTATCCCAGTGGAGCCAGAAAATTTTCCAGTGTGTAGCATACACAGACATTTTATTTTTATTTTCATTGTCTCAACTTTATCTAGGATTGGTATATTTGACTGTGAGATTTTCAGATTACACTGAGATTAAGCTAATTAACACAACTTTAATACTTAGAATTATTTTATCATTAGGAAAATTAATGCTATGTCACACACCTTTCCTCTTCCCTTTTGCACTTCCTGCCACTCTCGTTTTTCCTTTGCGTCGTACACCTTTAATTTGCTTCCATGGATGCCAGACACATGATTGCCATTTGTGGTGTGTTGCCAGTGTGGTGTAGCACTGAGACTTGGGAGATGCTAGCATTCAAATCCTCACTCAAACATGCAGCCTGGACCAGTCACAGTCTCTTAGCCTAACATACCTCTCAGGGTTGTGAGGATAAAACAGGAAGACGGAGAACCATGTACGCCACTTTGAGCTCTTTGGGTGAAAGGTGGAATCATAGCTGCCAACTTTTCCCTTTTCTTGCGAGGAATCCTATTCGGAATAAGGGAGTTTCCCTTTAAAAAAGGGAAAAGTTGACAGCTAGGGGTGGGATATAAATGTAATGATAAAACAAATAAACCAAGAAACCAAATAATATATTCTTGTGTTTTGAGATTTTCAGGACACTGTGTTTCCCCCTTCCTTCCTGGGCTGAGTGGACATAGGATATGGGTGCATATGTCCTCACGCCTCACATTGTCACACTCACACTCTGTCATTGGAATATAGGGTTGCTCAGTTATAATTCTCCTTATCTTAAGTGTTTTGAGTGGACAACAATTTTATGTAAGGCGTGAAGGGCAAGGACATCTATTCCCAAGGAGACAGCACAATCAGTACAAATAACATGACACAGATTTGTGCCTGAATGACAATCTGCATTCTTGTTGGGAGACTAATGTCTCCAGAGGAGTTAACACAATCTCATCCCCCCTCCACAAGTTTATAAATATAACATAAATCATAGATAATTATTTCACACCCTGTTTCCTTGTTGTTCTAAACACAGGAAAGCTTTTTCTTCACAGCTATTATTCATGCTTGTTAATAATAAGAGTGTGCTTTTGTCCTCAAGGCTTCACAGCTATATGTATCCAGCACTACTGAGCAGCAGTTATTAACATCCATGAAAAGCTATACAATTTATCCAGTGACACCACAGATTCTGAAACACGCCCCCCCCCAAAAAAGTGCAAAGCAAAATAGAAACCTGCTATCTCCTGAGATTAGACAGACTTATTAAATGAGAAGTCTTCTCAAAAATCACTCCATAGTTTGCCATATAATGTCATTTTCAGTTTTGGTGCAATACAAACTCCCTATCGGCTGGGCTGAAGGAGTTTAGGACATGGTGCCACAGGTCCCACAGGGGAGCTCATTCAGAAATCCCCCTCTGCCATCAACAGAGGCCCATCCACCTGTGCACAGACAGGCTGGTGCATAAGAGCCACACCTGCCACATCCCAGAAAAGGGATGACCTGGGATGGGGGCAGGACATACTGGGAAGAAGCCTGCAATCTACCACATCCAAACCCTCTTCAGATCACATATATAGAAGATGCACTAAGCATCTTCAATCTTTTCAGACCCACAACCCATTTTAACCCAAACATGTATTTGGAGACCCATTTCTTAACATTTAACCATATAGCTGGATGTTGATAGTGCTCCTGTTGTGACCCACATTGAATCAGGTCATGAACCCACTTGTGGGCCCCAAAGCACCAGTTGAAGACCAGTGTTCTATACCATCAAAAGACATGATGCACAGGGCCCCACTTCATAGGAAACAATAGACTAGGGCCGTTGTGAGAAAATTGGGGGGCCATCCCACTTGCTAGTCACACCCATGCTGGCATGAGATTTCTCTCCATATGCAGCAGAGCCCCATGGCCAATCAACAGAAAGCACTGGCAAGATATCAACCCAAATGCACCAGCCACAAATCACATGATACCTCTCATGGCATGGAACTGTGCCACACACACTTCTTATGGGGACTTTGAGCGCCAGGAGAGGGCACTATTGTGAAAGGGCATGGACACTGGGCACTTGGTGAAAAAAAACACCAGCTTTTGAGAGCCAGTGTGCTGTAGTGGTTAAGAGCGGTAGACTCGTAATCTGGTGAACCGGGTTTGCTTCCCCGCTCCTCCACATGCAGCTGCTGGGTGACCTTGGGCCAGTCACACTTCTTTGAAGTCTCTCAGCCCCACTCACCTCACAGAGTGTTTGTTGTGGGGGAGGAAGGGAAAGGAGATTGTTAGCCACTTTGAGGCTCCTTCGGGTAGTGATAAAGCAGGATATAAAATCCAAACTCTTCTTCTTCTCTTCAAGTTTGTTTCTTCATCACAGGTACAAACACTGCTATTGCTGACATTTCCTTCCCAAGCTTCATTCCCAAGCAGTCACCCAGGCTTCAGCAATGGATGCTGAACACTTGCAGGCCCCAAGCAGATGTGTGGACATGCTCCGTCTCTTCTCTCCTGGTGGAGACGGAGAACTACGATGGCTTGCCATGCCAACACCTGGAAATCACTTCTCACAACCTTCACTCCTGGCTCCCTGCCTGCACCCTCTGCTGCAGGGCTGGGGAAAGTGAGACGGGGAATACAGTCTCACGCCACTAGGAGTCACCCTGCAGCACTCTTGTTGCAGAGCCTCACAGGAGCAGCCCCCGCTGCAGGATCACATCACCCAGAAGGAGGGGAAGTGCAGTCAAGCCAGACCAGAGCAAGGGGACTCCAAACTCAAGCAGCCCCTGCAAGACAAAATGAACCCCAGCAGAGCACAGAAGAGCAGGAGAGAAGGAGCACTCAAGCCTGAGGGCAAGGAGGGCAGCTCAGCACAAGACTACTAGCAAAGTAGCAAAAACTGAGTGACCTAGGATAAGAAAGCAAATAGAAATCCAGTGGGAATCCACAGCCAGTGGAGTTGGGAACACAGTGGCAGGAGGTGGCTCAGATCATGTGGACTCTGTGCAGAAGTATGTGTGCAAAGGCAGGCCCAGGTTGTAAGGCTGGGACAAGAGCAGGGGGCAGAGGGCTCTGTGATGACAAGGGATGGGGAAACAGAGGGCACTGCGAGCTTGTAAGCAAGGTCTCCCAAGGGTTTATTGGCTACCAGAGGGCATTAGGTTTTGCAAATGCAGGTTTGGATCCTTTAGCTCAGCTGTGAAGTTCCTTGAATGACCTTGCACCAATCAGAATCTCACCATCTTATCCTGTACAGCTGCATGCAGGCGGCAATGCTAATCTGGCTTCCTCAGCCGCCAGCATGAGAAACGAAGTCCTCACACCCTGATTACATATACCTATGGTAGGCATGGGTTATGTCAGGGGTCAGCAAACTTTTTCAGCAGGGGGCCGGTGTATGGTGTAGTGGTTAAGAGCAGTAGACTCGTAATCTGGGGAACCGGGTTCACGTCTCCGCTCCTCCACATGCAGCTGCTGGGTGACCTTGGGCTAGTCACATTTCTCTGAAGTCTCTCAGCCTCACTCACCTCACAGAGTGTTTGTTGTGGGGGAGGAAGGGAAAGGAGAATGTTAGCCGCTTTGAGACTCCTTCAGGTAGTGATAAAAGTGGGATATCAAATCCAAACTCTTCTTCAGACCTTGTGGGAGGCTAGACTATATTTTGGAGAGAAAAAACAAATGAATTCCTATGCCCCACAAATAACCCAGAGATGCATTTTAGATAAAAGCACACATTCTACTCATGTAAAAACACACCGATTCCCGGACCGTCCACGGGGCGGATTTAGAAGGCGATTGGGCCGGATCCGGCCCCTGGGCCTTAGTTTACCTACCCATGGGTTACGTCTTTGCCAGGGCAAGTTTTGGCTCTCAGTCTAGAAACCTGGGCAGATATGTCACCTCACCTGCTGTATTTTTATGCTGTGAACTACCGTGAGATCTACCGATGAAGGGCGGTATAAAAATGTAATAAATAAAAATATATACCTGATCTTTTAAAGTTCTGGTGCCAGGGACCTTCCGCATGCAAATCATGCACTTTGCCATTGGGCTGCTCCCACCATTCCAGTTAAGGGACAGATCATGTAGGGTTGCCGTACACCCTCTTTTTCCAGAACACATCCTCTTTTTCATCATATAGTGATCCATAGTTAAAAGTAAAAGTTGGCAAACGTGTGCTCTTTTTTGCTCTTCAGAATACAGCAACCCGGAAGCTGAACGTTTTGACATGCAGCCTCTTAAGGTTGCAATCCTATACCTGTGGGTGGGTACCAGATGCCCTTGGACTAAAACTCCCATCACCTGTGACCGCAGTGGAGGCTGCCTGGGGTGCCAACTTTAATAAAATGAGGGGGGGGAGGTAAGCCCAGCCCCACATAATAAACCTGGTCACCCGCACACTATTTGAATGGCAATATTTATCATCTAGACATGGGTGGCGCTGTGGGTTAAACCACAGAGCCTAGGACTTGCCGATCAGAAGGTCGGCGGTTCGAATCCCCTTGATGCGGTGAGCTCCCATTGCTCAGTCTCTGCTCCTGCCAACCTAGCAGTTCGAAAGCACATCAAAGTGCAAGTAGATAAATAGGTACCACTCTGGCGGGAAGGTAAACGGCTTTTCTGTGCGCTGCTCTGGTTCGCCAGAAGCGGCTTAGTCATGCTAGCCACATGACCCGGAAGCTGTACGCCGGCTCCCCCAGCCAATAAAGTGAGATGAGCGCTGCAACCCCAGAGTCGGCCACGACTGGACCCAATGGTCAGGGGTCCCTTTACCTGGGGAGGGGGACAGCCGTCTCAAATATGTTGGTGGCGGGGGTGAAGGGATTTTGGCCCCTAGGAGTTGGCTCCTATGCTGGGGGCTGATGGCAGCTGGAGTCCCACAACAATCTGTGGGTGAGCCACCCGCCTCAGGGGGGCTTGTTTCCGAATGGACGCGCGTGACATGTCCCGGTCACGTGAACTGTCTCGCGTGAGCCCGTTTCTCACGGTTAACGGCCACAACTGCCACGGAGCCAAAACCAGATATGTTGTTGTTACTGAGCAGGGTGGGAGGGGAGGACTGTCAAATCCTTCAAGAGGCCTGCACGTGCATCAACAGCCTACAATGCAACTTTAAAAAATAAAGTCACCTGCGCAGGCAACACCATGACGGAGCAAGAACTCTGTTACTAGTCCATAAATCTTTGACTAGCGCCCGCTTCCCCAAACATTCAACTAAATCTCTAATTCGGGATTACGTAATGCTCCCGTTTGCGCCTGCTCTTTTTTTCTGAGAGAAATGGTCATAGCGTTTGCGCATGCGCCTCACGCCTGTTCCCTTTCAGCTCTCCCCTGCTGGGGAGCTGGAGGACCTTCCCAGAATGCCCCTGGGTGGCGGCAGGGACCGATCTTGCTTTGGGTCTCGCTGGCAAGACAGCGCCGCGCGCCTGCGAGCCCCGTCACGATTAAATCCCCACCTACCGACCTTCTGCGAAGAGAACTGATTGGGTAGCGCCGCCGTGCGGCGTTTTTTCCTCTCTCTACGGGTAGGGAGGGAAAGTGAGGGTGAGGAGAGGAAAGTGGAGGAAAGGTGCGCGCGCGCGCTGCTCCTCCTCGTCGTCTACCGTTGCCGCGAAGGGACATGTGACCGGCGGAAAGCGGGCTCTGAGCAGAACGCGCTGTGGAAGCGGCCTGCTGCTGCTGCTTCCTCCTCCTCCTCCTCTCCCGCCTCTTGTCGCCGCCGCGCGAGGCCTTTCCCTCAGCCCGGCGGAGTTCGCGCGCGCGCGCGCGCGCCACGGAGGCGCCGAAAGGCCCAGAGCCTCCATGTTGGCTCCGCAGTAGCCGGAGCCCCTTGACCGCGCGACCTGCTCCTCCGTCCAAGCCGCTCGCTCCGAGGCGCCGCCAGGTAAGTTGAGTCGGCTTCGTTCGACGCGCGGGGAAGGAGGCGGCGAGGCCGGCGCTGCGTGTGTGTGTGTGAGGGAGAAAGAGAGAGCGGAAGGGAAACAAAGAGGAAAGCGCCGACGGCCAGGCCTCGTCCGCTTCCCCTCACGGAAGCTGCCCCGGCCTATTTCCTCGGGGCTCGACGGGGCCTGGTGGCGAAAAGGCCGCCCCCCCCCAAGCACCTCGAGTTGGTCCAGATCCAGGGGCCTCTGGAAGCTCCGTGGTCGGGCAGCCGGTCATGCGATCGGCTTGTCTCGGCCCCAAGCAGGGAAAGAAAGTTTCGCTGCCGGAGGAGGAGGAGGCCAATCCCGAGGGCTCCTCTCGGTGCGCAGGAGGAATTTCTCCTCCAGGAGCGAGGCTTTGCTGACGCTTCTCGTCGTAGCCGAATAGCCAGCCCGTCCCGGGCAGTCCTTTGTTTAACAATTTCTCTCTCTCCGACACGCACGCACCTCTTGTTTGCGGGCTGGAGGTCACGGCGAGAAGTTGTTAATCTTTGGCCTCTGGACTCCGCGCAGAGCCCGGAGAGGAGAAGTTTGGCACTTGCGTTTGAATTTGCTTTTAAAGATAAACGACACCCCCCCCCCCTTTTTGTGTGTATGCCGTTTGTGAGATTACTGAAAGATGCCTTGTGCATCGAGCTTATGGAACAGGCGTAGGCAAACTCCAGCCCTCCAGATGTTTGGGACTACAATTTCCATGATCTCTAGCTAACAGGACCAGTGGTCAGGGGTGATGAGAATTGTAGTCCCTAACATCTGGAGGGCCGAAGTTTGCCTATGCCTGGTACTGCCTGGTACGGAAGATAATACTTGGGAGGGGAAAGTACAGAGAATACTATTAAATTCCGTTACCTGAAAGAGGTGTTGGAAAGGTGTTTGCAGTGTTTATGGATACACGAACTATCTGGCCAAGGCGAAGAAAAAAGCTAGAGAGAATTAACTCTTAGTTGTCTATGGTGGATGTTTATTTAAGGTACCAGGAAACTTTCACTTTCTCTTTCCTGGAATACAAGAATAAGGAGTTTGCTTCTCAAACCTTTTGTGTATTTTCTTTTGGATCGTTTTGAGAGTGTTTTGAAGCAGCCAAGACCTGATCATAGGATCCCTTGACACATTTGATGCAAGTTGTGTTTGATATTCCGAATTTCTCTTTGCTGTAGTTGGGTATGTAATGACAGTGGTGGTGTCTTCACATTCATGAATGAAAATGCCTATTGGGATGGATCTTTGTGCGTGTCACAGGCTGTTCTTTTGAACTGAAATGATCACATGATGTGTGTGTAGTCTGAAGGATTCTGTATGTCTCAAACTTCATTGTCCGATGCACAAACAATGTTGATGCTTTTCTTGCTATTACTTTTATCTTGTTGTTGTTGTTATTATTTATTAAATTTATATACTGCCCTTCTTCTGAAGATCACAGGACAGTTGCATGTTTGGCTGCTCAGCAGTTTTTAAGGAAATGTCAGGATGATATGAACAAAACCTATGATTTATGAATCATTGTCTTATTAGGGTTTCAGTTCTCTGCCTAGCATGCCACAGTAGGGGTGAAAATTGAGCCCTTCTAATCAAATGAGAGGAGAGAGGAGGCTGACCTGGCAGAAGGTGTGTGTCTGTAGGGACAGGTAAGGTGAAGGGCCTGGCCAGCCACAGGTTTCCTGTGCCTGATCTACTGTCCTGTTATGGGTTCTGTAACTGAAAGTTGCATAGCACATGTCACTCGGGAGCAATTCAGTGTCAGAATTTGGAGATGAGAGAGATCCTTAATTTCCTTTGAAGTCTCACATATCTGTCTCTCTTAACTATATGCTTAATTGTACAAACTGCTTTCTTTGTGAAGGCATAGCAAACAGGAGGGATTGAATATCTATAAAGGTGTCTGGGGACTCTGTCGTAATGCTGAAGTAGTTGATTGCCAGAAAACCATTGGTTATAAACTGCTAGGAGATATCTAATTACTTCATAAGGCGCAAAAGCACACAGCTCCTCCCATGTACACCAAATCCACAGTTAAGCAGTATGTTTTGTTTTCATGGAAAGCAAGGACAGGAAGGGAAGGGAAAGTATGTAATTAAATTCTTAGAAAGTTTGTCTAGAAACGTTCGTAAGTAATGCATAGGTAGGAAATGGGGGGGTTGGCTTTTTTCTGAAAAAAGTGTCAGTAATCTTTTAAACTTCATAGCTGGCTCTTTCACTAAAAACTAGTCTTTTCATTCCTTAGGGCAAATATATGTGTATTCTTGGTTAAGTCCAGGCTTCCCACTAACTTGTCCTATTTTCTGCTATCACAGGAGGGTGGGATTGTGTGAGAGCCTGAGAGGGTGGCCAGGTGGTGACATTATCTGGCCGCTACTTTACCACACTGAGGTGCAAGCTCTTCCCAATAAACTGTTCGCTGTTCTCCCAAGGGATGGGGCTTGTGAGGAACCACCCCTTCTACTCTGCTTCTGGGCTTAAGGTTTCCCCATCATTCAGAATGAGGAATGAGCAAGTAGGATGTTAGAAATCTGGGTCCTTGTCCTATGCCAGGGATGTCCAACTTCCAAGAGACTGTGATCTACTCCCACTTTTTTTAAAAAAGGCAGTGATCTACCCATTTTTTTGGGGGGGGGAATCCATCAGGATCACAGGATGCCCCACGATCGACCGGTAGATCTCAATCGACCGGTTGTACATCCCTGCCCTATTCCATGCCCAACTCTGTGTAAGCTGTAGCCATTAAACTTGTGTCCATTTTAACCCACATGTTGTCTCACAGTTGGTCTTACTTTCCCATATCACTGCACTCTATGGACACAGAAAGCATTCACATATATTAGCAAAAGATAATAGGGAGTTTGATGGCATTATTGCAAAGGAGAATGGGTTGGTGTGAGAGCAGAGTTCTTTATCCAGCTGCATTTGCTTGTTGTTTTTGACTTTAGCTGGAGGAAAACATTTTAAAGTTATCTAGAGGCATTTGCAGGACAAAACTGATAGGCTGGTAAAGGGTTAAGTGCCTTCTTTTCACTTTCTAATTCGTCATGTGTTGACACTACAGTGAAAATAAGGGATTAGGAAACCCCCCCCCCTTTCCCTTCAAATGTGCCATTGATCACCAAATTTTTGCATCTTTGTTTGTTTATCTTTTGCTATTTACTTAAAGCTGCAAATCTGTTAGGAAGTTTGTCTTATTAATAGGTTGTTTTTTATATATATATAAAGTATCTTAGAAGAGTAAATTGTAGCAGGTAGGTGCACTGGAAAACGGATATAATCCAAACAACCTCCAGACTATGAACATTCTGAGTTTGCTTGTACTCGGTAGCAAGTAACATTTTGCTGTTTATATACCGGTTGGAATCTAGAGTTGCTTTAGGAATGCTCATTGACTTTTGTATAAGTAGGATTTTTTATTTCTAACAGCAGTCTTTCTCTCCCCCTTCCCCCATGACCTGGATCAGAACTCTGGAGGAAGCAGCTAGAGGAAGAAACACATTTTTTCTTTAGACATTTATACCCTAAAACAAAAAGCTTAAAAAAATGCTCAGCATGCATTTCAACATCAAAAATTGTTAGCTGTGTGGCCTATGGTAGGAGGTTCCATAGCCTGGATGTTATTACAGAGAAGGCTCCCACATATCCCATCAGCCATACTTAGCAGTGGGTCATGAAGTAGGGTGTCCTTTATTGATGGATGAAGTTTCAACTTCTTAACCCATATTCATTCTGTTATTGATTGCAGGGTCCAGTTCTTGCTTGTCAAAATATACAGGTTGAAGAGTGAGAGAGAGGGCAGCTGTATTGATGCTAAAATCTTAGTCTGCAGTTCTTCAAGAATAGTCATGAGATAAACAGCATTGTGCATGTGAACCTACACATCCACCTATCATTTAAGAGATTAGAGTTGAATTTAGGAGTGTTCCCTAAAAAGGTAGGGTAAGTTTAGAAAGATGACCCCAAACTGAAAATGTTTTGAGAATCACTGTTTTAGAATAACTTCTTGTTAAGGGGAAACTGACATGGCATTGCATTTTCTCCCAAGATAAGTTGGACTTGGCTCAAGGAGAATCGGCCTGTGTTTCCATTTTTCTTTTCTTGTACTCATGATTATTCCTACTGTTCTGAGTTTGGGGGAAGGGGAATAACCAGGCCAGCTTGGTAATGGTCCGCTAATTATGGATGTGGGTGGCGCTGTGGGTTAAACCACAGAGCCTAGGGCTTGCTGATCAGAAGGTCGGCGGTTCGAATCCCCACGATGGGGTGAGCTCCTGTTGTCCCAGCGCCTGCCAACCTAGCAGTTCGAAAGTACGAAGTGCAAGTAGATAAATAGGTACCACTCCAGTGGGAAGGTAAATGGCATTTCCGTGTGCTGCTCTGGTTCGCCAGAAGCGGCTTAATCATGCTGGCCACATGACTCAGGAGCTGTACGCTGGTTCCCTCGGCCAGTAAAGCGAGATGAGTGCCTCAACCCCAGAGTCGACTGCGACTGGACCTAACGGTCAGGGGTCCCTTTACCTTTACCTTAAGATAGCAAAGGGAGTGGCTCTGTACCAGAGGACAAATGGGTGGGTTCAACTGTCTGTTAATTTGAAAGACAAAAGGCCAGAGCAGAGTTGAGTGGTGTGAGCTAGAAGCTGGATGCAAAAGCTGCAGGCTGGAAAGGCAGAGTGAGAGAGAGCAAGGCCTGATTTCTGCTGGAATCCAAGGCTGTGGCTATGGGAGAAACAGGACCCTTCGTGGTGTTAATGCTTTGAACCCCTCCATTGTAGGCATAGGTTGTTTATACCGTACGTGTAAAGAAACCAAATATTCTAAAGACACCAGAGCCTCCACTGTGCCTCATTCTGAAGGAAACACGAACTCTGTCTGAGTGCCTGGAACCCCCTGGCATCTCGTACCAGTCGGAGATTGGGGTGGCATGCAACTGTATGTTTAAGACAATCTGGTATGAGATACTATGCCCTGGTCCTATGCATTGGGAAATCATAGTTACAGGAAAGAAAATAAAATTCCTTGAATGTATGAGGGCCAAGAAATAGAGACTTACGGGTATAGGGCAGTATATAAATTTAATAAATAATAATTTTGAAGCAATGTGTGATATATATTCTTGTTATAACACTGCCTCTGTTGGAGTTGTAGGGTTGAAATCTGTGACATATTAGGAGGAATATAATCATTATCAATATTTTGCAGGTTGTATTTCCTAAGCAGAAATGAAGAATAAAAAGCAATGTATACAAAATGCTGAAGATGAAAAGCATGAAGACACAGAAGGTAGCTAATATAGGTTGGATATTCTGCTAAATCAGATAAGATAATAGTGAACAAACATATATCACTTCTTTTTAGCATCTTCCTACCCCAACATTTCCAGATCTAATAGAGAAAATCTAAAGCATTCTTTGGTATTTCTGGTTTTAACTGATTAGAGATAGTGCCCACAGTTCATGGTCACTTCAGAGGGGGCTTCTGAAAAGGAGAATATGTGAAAACTCTTTGTAAGAGGTCCTTTGTACTTCAGGACATGATGACTCCTGTTGATGTGGCAAACTTAAATTTGAAAGGGCTGATCCACATGGCCTGTTATTCTGGAATAACAACTCATTGAATCTCTTTTAACATCTGATTTGTTTACAATATCTGACAAAATAAGCTGCTCTTACCCCTGTCCTTGACAAAGTGCTTGTGTTGTATGTTATTTTCTGATATGCAAAGGGTTGTATAGCCGGTGCACATTGACACACATTGAAGATCAAAACTGTGTAAGGCAGGGATGGCTGACCTTTTTCATCCTGAAGATTGTGTTCAGAGTTGGCTAACCTGCAGTTCACATCTTACATACATACACTCTTGCCATGCAGACATGCATGAAGCTGCCCAGTGTCCACCCACAGAGGCACTCATCATACATATAGATACATGTACTGTACTGCACACTCGTTCCCCATCCTCTCAGCCTAGTTCTGTGGTGGGCCAGTTTCTTCACTGTAAGACTAGACTGCATGGAGAGGTTTAAACCTCTCAACTCGGCACTGAGAAATGTCAATTTCTCCACTGCAGTTCTGAGCTTACGTGAGAAGTTTAAACCTCTCTATCTAAGTGCTGGGATGGAGATTGACCACAGCTTTCCCTCTCATCTCAGTAGTTGAGATATTGCTTCATTGCAGGATTGGGCTGTGAGGAGAGGTTTAAATCTTTCCCAAATTCAACCTTCCCTCTCAGCTCCATGATGGAGAAGTTGCAGTGCTAAAGAGGGGCATGGCTTTCCCACCTGCAGTAACTTTGTTGGGTGGGCTGGAATTGGCCTATGAGCTTGCTACCCCTGATTTGAGGAGATGTTTCTGAAGCATCCAGGAATTTAATGCCCATGTGGAGGTGTGGTATGATCTCAAGACCACTGTTTATGATTTTTTGATATTATACATTGTGTCCCAAGTGAATTGTTAGGCTAACCAGGAAAAGGTATTGTCTATTTGGCATTTGTTAGTTTTCAGTCGGTCTGGATTTTAATAGGGTTTTAAGAAATTATAGAGTCAACTTTATTTTTTAAAACTTGAAAAAAAGGCCTAAAAGGTTTCATTTTAATCATAGGAAAATTATTGCACTGTTTTTGAGATAGCTATTTACAAAAACAAAAAAGATATTTGTACTAAATTTCACCTTACAATTTTATATGCATGTAGATCACATTGTTACCACAGTGATTTATAATTAACCTGTGAAACTAATTGACATATATGCAGTAGTGACTACTGTCATAGTAACTTGTTTAAAAGCTTCAGTAATTCCATGTCATGGATGGTTTGTAGTTGGCCACTACCAATAGTAGGCCGGAGCAGTTTTCATATTCACATCTAAAGGCATACACACACACACACACCCTAAATCTTGACCTGACCTGCTCATGACCTGGTGGTTGGTAAGGATGAAATGTTGGGTAGAGGGGAGTATGATAATCACAGTATTCAGAATTCAACATTTGCATTCTTGTTGGCTTCAGTCATACATAATGAGATAACTGCATTTCAGACCTAGCTGACAATATTGAGACATTTTACTGTCAGCTTACAAAGGATTTGAGAGTCAACTTTTTAAATCCACAAGTTTGAACAAAATTGCATATCAGCATGATGTGGCATATTATTTAAGTGGATATTACTACTACAGACTTCACAAAGCTTTTACATTTTATAACAGGTGAAGAGAAAGAAGAAAACTGCTCCTGTTCTTCTAGCTTTCTGTCTGATGAAGATGACAGGTGTCCAATCTGTCTAAACTGCCTGGCAGAGCAGGAGGTTGGTTTTCCTGAAAACTGCAGTCACATCTTCTGCATGACCTGCATCCTTAAATGGGCCGAAGTAAGTATAGGTGGTTCATGGGAAACTTGTAAACTGGCTACTTAAATGCTTAAAATCTTTTTAAAGGGTAATATTTCTCCTTGGCAGCCTGGCAGCCAAAGAACAGTACTACTAGTTCCTCATATTCAAGTGACCTCGAAGGCACATGGCAGCCTGCTTTTCAAACATGAGACTTTCAAAAGCAGTATATAATATAGCAAAAGGGCTTGATGTTTAAATGATTTTTTTAAAAAACCAAAAAAACCAAAACCCAGCTGGCATGCCTAAATCAGCTCTTTGTGAGTTATGGCCCAAATGTAACTCATTTCACATTTCAGCGAAGTACTCACATCACCACATTTGGTAAATGCTTAGGTAGTGGCCTTTGTTTGTTGGAAGTTAATGTTGTGAGCTCTTGATAAATGGTTTGTCCATTTGTCTTCCCAAACTCTATAGGTAATTATTGTGTCTCCTTTCCAAAGTTCCTACTGCTGTTGCTTTCCAGGGAAATCTGCTAAATGATGATCCCATAGTACTGACCTATTTTCTTGCAACTTTGTAATATTGTGCTTTGTTACTGTAGACTTCTTTCTTTGCCTGTGTAGTATACTGCTTATGCAGTATAACATTGTTGCTTTCAACATCTTGCTTATTGTGATGAACAACCCAGATTGAGATTGAGAGAACTTCATAAGGACCTAAAGTTTTATACACATCATATGCAATACTGTAACTAATGCTTATCCAGCTTCTTAGAAACCTTTTTGGAGAACTACTTTTTCTAGGCATCTTTTATTGCTGTGATCACTTATCGCTGTGGCAGATATTATAAACCCCAGAGTTTAAATGCATACTCTTCATGTCCTACTCTAATCAGTAGGACAAAATGTTTCTAAAAGTCAGTAATTGTTTTCTATGTTCATGGCATTCCTTCAAGTATTTGAATCTAATTATCCAGAATTGTGGTCATGATAAAATGTTTAGTCCCTCTGCTTTAGAGACACAAGGGTAGAAAAACAGTGTGGCAAGCAAAGCCCAGCAGGCATTGCACTTATGCACAGGTTGATCTTGCTTAATGAGCAGAATGTGTGACTGGAACTAGGTGGGTTGAGAGGAGGGCTCAGATCTTGCAGTCAGTCTGCATGTCAATATCTGGAAGGGTCTCGTAGGTTGGTTGTAGAAGTTCTTCGTAGTTGCTGGATCCGAGTCACTGCTATGTGGCAGTCTGTGGCCCTTCCCACTCATCAGGAGGGAATGATATGAATATGGTTGCAGTAAGGACAGTATGGAGTCCGAATTCAGTTTCTATTGTTCCCCTGCTTCCACCACTCTTTGGAGACCTGGGTTTTACTACTGCACCACTCTGCCTCCACCATGTGACTTCCTGGTTGATTGCTTGCTATCTATCTAAACTGCAAGATCACACCTTTATTTTATCATCTGTAGGATTTCCACCACACACACCTGAAATATCAAACATGTCTGCTTTCCTAATTCCTTTTATATCTCCGTTGTCATCATTTAATTCCAGACAATTCATTTATTCACCTTTTACCATCCACACACCAATATGCATGCACACACACAGGTGTCATATTTGTGTTCTTTAAGAACTCTTGAGTGGATATCATCTGAACCCAGTCATTTGTTTACAACTGGTCAACAAGGCTTACATCAGCTCTCTTGATGCTGTGTCTCAACCCAGACTGGTAGTTGTCTTGCTCCAAACAAAACACAAGTTGTAGTTCGTGTTTGTGTCTTACTGCACATGGTTTGTATAAGAGAGACCAACTATGATTCCAGATTCAAATCTAGCACTCAGCCAAGCCATGGCCCAACTGTGATAGCAGCAGGACCTGGAGAGTGAAGTGGCAGCAATTTTTGCTTGGAGAACCCACATACTCCTTGTTCATTCCTGCTTAGCTATGCTTTGGGTTAGTGTTACATGCAAAGTGGACCAGTGTTCTCTTCATACAGGACTGCCACTATTGATTTGAAATCAATGGACATGACTAACTGAGGTCGATTAATTTTCATCATCTTCTCCTGAGTAGAACTGTCCTGGACTGGCTGCTGACAATAACTCAGTTGGATACAACCCTCAGTCCTATGGATATAGTTGGTTTGAAATTTAAATAAATGTGCATATTACAAACCCTTTGCTACTGGTGCCTTATTGGTTTATGTGAGAACTAAACCTTTAATCAAAACTGCCACTCCTAGGAGGAATGGCTATTATTTCTAAAATATCCTTAAAAATAAAATTGCTGTTGATTTGCAACCCAACAGATCAGCTTGCCCTTGCTGATTGATCAACTAATGGTTTAATTGATTTATTTATTAAGCCAATTAGCATCTGGAGTCTTAAATTAATTGAAAGTAACAGATTCCAGAGGAATATGCATGCAGGTTGGTTTGAATCAAGAGATTCAAAAACTGGACAGACGATACAGTTGTTCCTTTTCTTTGGAGAAAAAAACCTATTTCTAATGTTATAAAATAGTGAAATGTGAACAAAATCTTCTTTCAGACCAGAGCATCATGCCCAGTTGACCGCAAACAGTTCCAAGCTGTATATAAACTAAATGCATTAGAAGACTGCATAAAGGCAAGTTCCAGTGTTTATTTAATTTATATTTTGTGTTTAGAAAATTACGATCAGAATAAACTAGCGTTTTGTTCTTCAAATATCTGAATAATTATTTGGTCACTAAGGCAGGTTGGATGCTGTTAATGGCATGTTCTAACTTTGACCAAAAAACATTTGTTTAAAGCATTTAACCCTGACAGAAGGAGTCCTTCTCTTTGTGGAAGTTGAAGTTTATTTCCACCCCATTTTTTATATACTTCACAATTATTTCTCAGTGTTGGTAAAATCATACCATTTAGCGCTCAAATGATTTCTTATTTTATTTGTTGGCAAGCTGTAATTCCCAGCACATCTCAGAAAGTTCTAGTGTTTAACTGTGATTGATTTGCAAAGCAGATGCTGATTGCTCTTTTCGATTAATTGTAGATTTGGGCAAGGGGAGAGATTGGTCTCTGTGTTTTGTCTTTGCAGAAGGTAAAAACAGTGTAATACTTCGGCTGCTTCTGCAAACATAAGCAAGACCCCATTCTCCCGAGTCTTCTGCCATTTGCAGAAGAGGTGGAGAAGGAGAGAAAAAGAGAAACACACAGTATTTTTTATTCAGCCTAGGCTTCCCTCTTACTCCATACCCCTGCTTCTCTAAAACCCCATAAAGGTGTTGTTATCAGGATTCTTCCAAATACATGATTTCTGGGAAGTAAACAATGTCTAAACTTTAGGACCCATGTTTATTTAATAATAAAAGGCTAAAATCATATTTGCTCCAAAATGATAAACTAGGAAGACATTAGGAGTGAAATCCAGGGCTGTCATGCCATGCACAGAATGGCTTTTGATTTAGCAGAGATGATCACTAACAGTGATAAACTATGCCGTCCTACTATATTTCCCTATGCTCCTGAAAATCAGTTATAGAAGTTTAGGGGACCCTTTAAAACTTTGTGGATAGTGGTGTGGGCAGCTGCAATGTGAATGGGAAACTGGAAAAAATACCCTTCTTTCTTACATTAGCAGATTCCTCCACGGTCAAAAACTGTTTTCTGAGCAGGATGGCAACAGCAGATTTCACCCTGATAATTCAATCAGTATCTTGGGAACACTTTCATGCGGCAAATAATGAGGACCGTATGAAGAGCCAGTGTGGATTTAGTGGTTAAGAGCGGTACATTCGTAATCTGGGGAACCGAGTTCACGTCTCCGCTCCTCCACATGCAGCTGCTGGGTGACCTTGGGCTAGTCATACTTCTCTGAAGTCTCTCAGCCCCACTCACCTCACAGAGTGTTTGTTGTGGGGGAGGAAGGGAAAGGAGAATGTTAGCTGCTTTGAGACTCCTTTGGGTAGTGATAAAGCGGGATATCAAATCCAAACTCCTCCTCTTCTTCAATTGTCTAGTAGCTTATAAGAAAAGTTTTATTGGACTTTTTTATGTTTTCAGAAAACACCAAGACAGATTTTTAGTTTTTTTACTGGTAACTACCCAAGCGTGTGCTATTGAACAAACTTCTGCTTTGTCTCTTTTCCTAGAATGAGAATGTCTTGACCTAGAGTTCCTTTAGAACAAAGTAGTGTGATGCTATAAATCAGCATTGGCATTTTTATATCGTGTATTAAGTGAATAATGCTGTAGGCTGAATCACATAACTACTAGGTTATAAATATTAGAGAAAATGATTTGGGAAATTGCTGTACTAATTTTAACATTCCTTACAGGTTCAAATAAAGGAACAAGTAAGCAAAAAAGATGACCTACTTAGCTGTAATGAGGGCAAGTATTGCCCTGCAAATATGAAAAACTGTACAAGGTTAGTAATGAACCTTTCCTTTACTGTTGATGTCATGTCTAGTTCGTTCATAAACATTGATTAGATGTGTTTCAGATTGATAAGGATGATACCAATAAGTAATACTCTGAGTACTCGCATAGAGATCAAAAGATTTGCTATTTAAGTTTGTTACTTTGTACCGGGTTAAGAGTATGACTAATGTTGAATATGATACGACCCTAAATAAATAGGCAATATTTAAGACAATTTGCTGAGAAAGGAGCCATTAGATGGCATAGGTTGCTATCACCCTTTACCAGGATTAATCTTCATATTCTTTGGAGATAAGCAACAGTTTGTTGCTGTACATTTAAGTGTCCAGAGTATCATAGCAGTTTCATTCTTTAGATCTTGGATGTTAAAGATCTTTAGGGCATTTATAGAGTTCATTCCTTTATGGGACCTTGGTCCATCATTAGCACACACTAAATTGCTCGGCATATAACTGTTTTGTATGTGTTTGCAGAAAACATGAAAATGCAGGGAAAGTGCATTTAACAGAAATCTCCTGTAAAGGCTGGAACCAAAAACACAGTAAGTTTTTTTTTTTTTTTTGTCACTAACTTGGCTTCCCTTTGAAATTTCAAAACTACATGTTGCTAGTGCTTTGGATGTATTTGATATGCTTCTATCAGATTAATGGTTTCTAAGCCAATTTCAGCAGAGCAGAGAGGAAACTGCAATAAATCAAATCTAGGCTCCAATCAAAATAACCTCAGGGGTTCTGATGCTTACTTGTCCAGTATGCCAGTGTTGAGGGGACTGTGTACTATGCAGGACTTTTAAAGAGAATTGGCAAACCTTTCCATGCACAAAGAGGTCCTGCTCACATATACACAGACACACTTGATAAGGTCTGAGCTTAGTAAATAGCAACAAATCAATCAAATTGCTTATTGTGTATTAGCAAGTATTTAAACTGTATATTTTTCCTTTGAAGCTCAGTCTCACATCCCCAGCATTTGGGGAACAATTTCTGTGGTCCAGAGCATTCTTTTCATATGATGTTTCAAGAGAAATTCGGTGTGCATGGAAGTGGCCTCTGCTTCCTAACCACAAACCTTGCTTCTCATGTTGGCCCTTAGCTCTTTCGCTGACCCTATCGGAAAAGAGTCATTACTCCCTAATTGTCAACTAGTAGCCCAGAGATAGGGGTGCTTAGATATGTAGCAAGTCACTAATTCTAGGCAAAATAGCCAGGATAGGCTTGACAAAAACAGAGTCCTGTGGCACTGTGAAAGCTTAACCAAATTCTAGCATCATCTTGAATACATGAGATGTGTCAGCAGGGGAATAGTGTGAGCTGAATGTACCTCTGGGTGTACTGAAATAGTTATATAGTTGGCTGGTTTGTAGTCTGTGTTGTGAAATTATATAAAGAACAGACAAATACTGTATCTTATGTGTCCCACTGATTAGCTTGGGTATATGCTAGTAATTTTCTAATCTGATTGTGTTTTTTTCCCAAAGGGCTTTTGCAGTAGTAAAATGTTTGTGAAATTCTTACATTTAAAATGAAATTTAATCTATGTTTAATTGCCTTAATGCTAATGATTATCAGATTAAAGTGAGATTGTGCTTTTTTTAATCATTATAAAGGTTCTTCAAACAAAGAAGAAGATAAAAGTTCTATTTCTATGAAGAAAAATAAGGTTTGTTTGATTACTTTTATGTTTAAAGGACTAAAAGTTACTGAATACATTTTTGTTTAAGGCGGCTTCGCCTCAGGTTTGTGCAATGACAGTACAAACTGGGGGGTCTCCAGAGTCTTAGGCAGAGATCTTTCCCATCACGTGCTACCTAAACTTTTAAAGTCTGTGTCGAGATAATTTGTTTGAGGTGCCTAATTACAATGAAAAAAATTTAAGGACTTTCTAAATGCAAAGTGTCTCCTCTACCTCTGAGTCCTTCCCTGCCACGCCATCCTAGTTTGTAGACCTAGCAGTGAAAGTGAGTTTCAAGACCTTGTAAAATGTGTTGCATGAATATATTTCTGCCCGTGTCTCAGTGCAGTTTAGATGGCTTCTGCAGTTATATGACTAGAATATAAATCTTCTTTCAAATGTTCTTACATCTGGAACCCTTTTTTGTTATATAACTATTGGATGCAGAGGTTACCACAGTGTTTTACATTTAAAACTTTATTTTGTAGCCCAGAAGACAAACCTGCTCAAGCAGATTTCTCAGAAGTAACTTCTGTGGTAGATTTTCTTCTAATAGTAGCTTCAATGGAGAATCTCATAATTACCAAAATGAATGGTCAGTATTGAATCTATTGTTCACAAAGACTATTGTAATACTGTAAAATGTTAATGTGACTCATTTGACTTCCTGGGAAAATGTAGATCTAGATTAACTTTTTTTCCTCGCATATAAAACCACTGTAGTAGGATCTACTCCAGCAAAAAAAGAGAAATATGTAATTGAGCCCTAATCTCCCAATATTATCTTTGTAAATATTCTAGAGCAATTTTTAAAATCTGAAAGTCTGTCTCTGTGTAGGGTTTAAATGGCTTTTGTATCTGTTCTCCTTGGAACGAAGAGCCTACAGTGAGTTAGACCTTTTGTTCCATCTCATTCAGCATTGTCAACCCTGATTGGTAGTGTCTCTCCAAGGTTGCAGTTCTTCCTGGCCTATAGATACCAGGGATTGAACCTGGGACCTTTGACATGTAAAGCATGATCACTACCACTGAGCTACGGCCTTTCCTCTCCTAATATGCTGTTGTCATGTTGTCATGTAGTGTTGCAGCTTTGTGTGTGAGCTGAGACCCAATTCAAATATTACATCTCCCTTGAGCACTTTAGGTTGGACTCGATGGCCCTTGTGGTCTCTTCCAACTCTATGATTCTAGGTGACCTAAGGAAGCCAGTGGCTGTGTTTTGTCATAATGCTAAACCATTGTATTGGATTGTATATCAGACTAGGGGTTGTATGCTCCCTCTTCCCTCTCTTACGGTGTGGCATCAATGGCAAGATAGGAGACTTCTGATTTAAGAGTGACTGCATTTCAGTGTGTTTGAAGCCTAAGCAGTAGTTAATCTTATCTGTGGTCATTTGAAACAAGTCAGCTTCATGAACTTTGGTTTAAATGGACTTAACGAACGGGCTTGTTTTAATGGACTATAGTTAAAATTAACTGCATTTTGTCTGGAGTTTAGATATTGCAACAAGCTGCATTTTATTTAAAATGGAAACTTCTGAAATCTTCCTTACCGCTATGCCAGAGCAAGAGATGGGTGGTGGCAGTCTGGAGGAAGGAAGCACATGAGCCTTCAGATCAGTTTATCCTTGTACTGTTCAACTTTGCTGCAGTTTTCTTTATCTGAATGAGACCAGTATCTGTACCTCAACCCATTCATCTGCTGCATAAGGATAATACTGACCCACCCACTTTGTGAGACTATTAAGCGTTATTGAGAATTAATATAAAGTGTACATGTATGTCAATTATCATTTTCCATTCTGGAAATCTATCTGCCACCTTGTTAAGCTGCACATCAAGGCCCTAAAATTTATTTCAAATTTATGTTCCAGTATAGAGATCAGCAAAATTGACACAATGATCGGGCATAAGAGAAGAGAGCTGGAGTTGTCATGTTCTGTACTAGCTAGTATGGCAAGGTAAAGCAACCAACTGGTTAAGAACTGTTTTGTTTTTAAATGCACTTTGTCACTAGTGAAGCTACAGTCACAATATCTAAAGAACAATAACAACTGGGTTAAGATAAACTTTCAATAGTATTTGAAATTATGTGGGGGGTTTTTATTTACATATGAGTGCACAGAATGAAATACTTATATTTTATGTTGTGAACCGCCCTGTGATCTTCGGATGAAAGGCGGTAAACAAATTTAATATATAATTATAATTATATTAAAATGTGCTTTGCAATATAATAGTTTGGTTCTGTCTACTATTCTGAATCGATAGAACCTCAGTTAAGCAAAGGGTTTGTCTGGTTTCTTGTTTTGCATTCAGAATGCTTAAAACTTAGGATCATCATATTGCTCGCAATAAGAGGAATGCAGTAATAAGAGTGTTTTTGCACTTAAGTCTGGTTATATTTTTATTTTTTTATTTGTAATGCATAAACCTAACGTTAATGAATATTTGGGACAATGATACTTGCAGGCAAATTCATAATCCAGGTGATTAAAAAGCTAGTAATATACTTACAGATTTCATTTTGGAAAGCCAAAGCGTTTTCTTTTTTCCTATTCCACTTCAGACCTTTTAGAGGAGTCCAAATTATCTAAGCCCAAAAGGACTTTGGCCAAGATAACAAACTTTAAATCCAAGAAGGGAGTCTCAATCCTTCATGTGCTTTTCATTACTATTTATCCAATGGATACAATGTGTTTCTATATGGCCTTATGTGATTCCCCACCACCCCCCGGTAGGATTCTTCCTGTAACTCTTGTTTTTATGTGGGTTAATTTTTACAGAATACCTTCCATGGGCTGTGAAACAGAGATGACAACCTGCTGTCTGGTTTCCACTGCTGTAGTGGAAACTCTTTTTTTGAGAAGTTCTTCGCCTTTGGAAAACTTTGGTAAATTTTTTTTGTAAGTTTTATTTATAGTTCATATAAAGCAACATTTTCATTAATTCCTCCAACTATATTATGTGATTTTCCCTATTTAAATATACATTTTAAGAGTTAATTGTCACATTGGCGCAAAGTAAAACACAAAATAATTTGAAATGTCTAAAGAATGTTCAGATGTAAAGTTGGTTTTTTAACATAATATGGGAGGTGGCTAAGGTAGAATGTGCAGGCCCTAATTTCTTCTCTTATTATCTCTCTACCATGCCCCAGGTTATAGAAATTATTTCACTGGTGGATATAACATTTCCATGCAGATAAGCTAGGGCTGAACAGATCCTAAATTAAGTCATTCTAAGCTTGCCTATAAAATCTAATCTTTTTAAGGTTATCCTGCTGAACAAATAGATACTTGCAGTTCAGAGGGACTTGAGCTATCTAGTTCTTTTCAATAGATGTATAGATTTCTGTTTATTTTATTATCTTAAACAGAATTCCTGCTTCATAAAACATTTTCCCTACTAGGAATATACAGAATACATATCTGTGCATTGCACATATGTGCACACAGAAAGAAAGGAGAGAAGTTATTTTGAGGAATCATAAGTTCTTTTGAGGTAGTGTGTTTGCACAGTGTTCCTCAGTCTATCCCACTTTTTCCTGTTCATAGTGATTCTATGAACTAGAATAGGAATATAGGATTTAGGGATGACACAAATTGATGAATGATTCTGCACATATTTGAGCTTCATTCTATTTAAGGGTGGGGACCTGAGAGTTAATGGCTTCATAGAAGAAGCCCATTTTATTTTAGGCTTTAAAGAATGGGGCAGAAATGGGACAATGAGCATTTGGGGTGAGGATACAAGGGCAAAAAGGGAGAATAGATTTCTAAGGGAGTAGAGCCCCCTTCACACCTGAAGCACATTAACAGCAATGCTGCTGGCTCCAGCTCCTGCCATGCACATGTTGGCATAGGCTTAGCTGCAGCGATCACATAGCAGATGGGTCTTTGCCAATGCATGGATGTACAGGGATGGACAAACTGCAAGCTTGGAGTGATTCATGTGTGAAGATCGCTCAGATAGTGAGCAGCAGCCAAGCTAGTGTTCTTGGTGCTTTGTATATAAAGTATTCTAATTTAGAAATTTGATCTGAGTTAATTTATTTGAAAGAATAAACTATAAAATAAGACATATACCCAGGCAAATATGGCTCTTTAGGAGACTGGCTAGGACAGTGGCGCCATAGACGGTAACCTGTAAGAGCTGAGACAACTAGTGAGGTCTCACGTTTTGGAAGCAGCTATGAGGTAGAATGCCACCTATGGGCTTAGCCGCAGCGAAAGACCTTGCGAGTTCCTGAGATTTTTTGCTTTTACACATGCTATCTAATCACTGACCTTACGTGCTCTAATATGTAGCTTGGCTAATCCCTAAGCCTTTAAGCCTCTAATACTAGCCGCTAAAGCAAAAGCAGTGTGCTAACCAGCTAAGCCGTCAATGGCTCGCCATAGACAAAAAGCATCAGACAGAAGACTCCTTGCCAGACGGATTAGTTCAAATCTCGCAGAACTACTGTAGCCCCAGAATAAAGAAAAAGCCTAGCCAAAGAGGCAAATACTGAATTAAATGTGGACATTTCTAAAATAAGTAATGTTTGCATTCACCTTACCTCAGTACATTAAACATTCTTTCCTCCTCTTCCTTTAATACATATATATTAGAGTCTTCAGAAAAGGGGCATGTTGTTACATATGTCCAGGAAGGAGAAGAGAAAAAACAAACTTCTGGTGCAGCTGGCACAAGAGGAACAAGAAGGAAGGTTTCAGATACTACACCTAGAAGAAGATCTGCCCGGAATGCTAAAACTGAAACCTCGAGTCAGTCTCAGAGTTCACCAAAATCCAGCAATTCCGGATGTGAGGCCAGTGGCGATGGTAGCTCATTTATGAATGCTGCTACTGCAGAATCTGAGAAACTACCTCCAAAGCGGAAGGCTAAAAGAGGAGCTAAGCAGAAGGAACCTGTGGTTAAAAAGAAGCTCAGAAGTTCTGGACGTTATGGAAAACCATCTAGTGACCTATTAGACGATGAATCTGAGACAGAGGTAACAACAGTACTAGATAAAAGCAATCTACCCGACAGTGAAAATACTGCCACTGACCTGAGTCACAAAAATGATGTAGAAACAGAGTCTGCTAATGGCTTGGAAAATTCCAAGGACTGTGTGACATGTCAGGAAGATCTTACAGGAGATGCTGGTGAAGGGCAGGCTACTTTAGACACTGGTTCCTGTGTTCAAGATCCTCCTTTGCTCACCCTAGAGGGAGACACTGAAAAATGTGAAGTAAAGGAAGACACTGAGTTTGAAAATAATGGATGTCCTGCTGCTGAAGAAGTAGATAAAATTTATAGTGCTTCTAGAGAAGATACCTACAATGATACAGGAACACTTACTCATGAGCCTCAGGAATTAGGCAGTCCTAAGAATGAATTGCCGGAGAAATTGGAACCCATGGCAACAGCAGATCAGCCTTTGGACAGTCCCAGGAATGAAATCCTGGAGAAAGTCGAAAGTGTGGCAATATCAGATGATATGTTGGCTGATCCTGAAAATGAGTTGCTAGGTGCAACCGAATCTGTGGCAGTAGAAGATGAGCCAGCGCCTGATTCTAGAAATGAATTCCTGGGAGACCTTGAACCTTTGTCTGTAGCAGATGAGCCTGTGCCTAGTCCAAGCAATGAATCGTTTGGTGAGTCAGAATCTGTAGCAATAGTAGATGAGATGTTGGAGAGGCATGAAAAGGAAATGCCCGAGAAGACATTAGCTCCTCATTCTTCTGAGGATAAATCACCAGAAGAAATGGGATTTGAGGCAGTAGTCAAGGAGCCATTGGAAAATACCACAAGCACGTTACAGCAGCTTCCAGTGCCATTGGAAATGGAAGGTATGAACACTGTCGAAAAAGAAGTCTGTGTACCCACAGAGAATGAAAAAGATAATGATTTATTAATTACAATTTCTTCAGACAATACATTCAATCAGATTTTAGAAGAGACTAGAGGAGATTCTAGAACCAGTTCATCACCTAAGTTGGAAGACCTTAAACATTTTAGTGAAGACAATAATGAGATAGTAGCTATGGAGTGTGACTCATTTAGCAGTGACCAGAATGAATCTCGGATAGACCAGCCACTAATGAGTAATAGTGTAGAGCAAGAGGCAACCTCCTTTTCCCATGAAACTGAAAACTCGGTATCCCTTTCGAGCTCTTCTGACAAGAAAGAAGAAACAGAATGCTCCGCAGAACTTAAAAAAGATAAAAAGACTAGGACTAGAAGATCAAGATTTCATTCTCCATCAACAACTTGGTCACCAGCCAAAAGAGAGGGGAAAAGATCTCAGTCTCCATCTCCCAAGAGGGAGATTGTGGCTGAAAGCAGGATGTCTCGATCTCCTAAAAGGGATGTTTCCAAAGAAGGGCGAAGATCTCTATCACAGTCTCCGAAACGAGATCCTCCAAGAGAAGAGAAGAGATCCCCATCCTGTTCTCCTAAAAGAGAAACTCTGAAGGAAGGGAAAAGATCTATGTCCCAGTCTCCAAAGAGGGATCTTACGAGAGAAGGGAAGAGGTCACCGTCGTCTTCTCCAAAAAGGGATTCTCTCAGGGAAGGAAGGCGATCTTCTCGGACACGAGCGAAGGAATCCTCTCCAAGGCACAAATGCCGATCTCAAAGTAGGGATAGAGATAGTGAAAAAGATGGGCAAAGAAGAGATCATGAAAGAGAGAAGAGTAGGAGGAGATGGTCACAATCACGATCAAGGTCTCGATCTAGGTCAAGATCAAGGACAAGAAGCAAAGGCCCTTCATTCCCTAGAAATGAGAGGGATGGCTATTCACCTCCCAGGTGGAAAGAACGGTGGACAAATGATAGCTGGAGAAGTCCCAGAGGAAATGACAGATATAAAAGAAATGAGCAAGAGAAGCAGACAGAGGGTATGAAAAGAGAGAGGGACAGTTCAAGCAAAGATGCTGACAAGCAATCTTATTCTGACCAGTATAGGAAAGATTATCCAGACTGGGTTATGGAAAGGATAAATTCTGTTCCTGAAACAAGGAACAGAGAGAGGGACAATTTTAAAAATCAACCGTGGGATGAAAATAGGCAAAATGATTCAGGGCCTCCATGGAACAGAAGCTTTGGATCAGGTTGGAATTCAAATCGCAGCAGAGGTGGCCGTGGCAGAGGTGGCCGTGGCAGAGGTGGCTTTACGTATGGGGACCAGAGTGAAAACCGCTGGCAAACTAAGAAGCCACACTCGGGGAATGCAAATAGTTCCGGAATTGAAAGTTCAAGGTTTCCAGAGCACCAACCATACAAACGTAAGATGGAGCAAGACTTCTCTTTCGATACACCTGCTGATAGGTCTGGGTGGACTTCTGCATCAAGCTGGGCTGTGAGGAAGACTTTACCAGCAGACGTACAGAATTATTATTCCAGAAGAGGAAGAAATTCGTCAAGCCCACAGTCTGCGTGGACAAAGCCAGAAGAAGTAGCACCTGAGCAAGGTATTTATTTTTCCCATATTAACGCATAAATCACTGGTTTGGGATAGAGCGGGCAGACAATCCCTCTTTTTTAAAAAAAAATTCTAAGAATGCTAGACAGGGGATGGTTAACTTTAGCTTCTGTGCAACCGTCCCAACTTAAATAATCACAGCCTTGCTGAAATGGCGAAGCCTTCAAAATGGGGTATGTTCCACTTTCCTGTTCACCCACTATAGCACACATGCTTCTCATTTAATGTTGAATAAAACTTTGATTTTTTTTTTTTTGGTGCCCTTAAAGCTTTAGTACATCTATTCAAAAATCTGTGGTAAATTTTTTTAACTATTCGTGCTGTACAGTGGATAATAATGTAGCTGGAATGTATCCGCTCGGTACAGCTCTGTGGAAAAGTATTTATGTGGCGCACAAAATAATACTTTTAAGAGAACCCTTTATTGTATGTTAAGTGAATGTCTGTGAGGATTGTATTTGACACATCAGATATCCCTCCATAACTGTTTAGCAAAGTAAACAATGGATTGGATCCTAAGATCTCGAGAGTGCTGCTCCACTCATCGAAAGGATGCTCCTGAAAATCAATGAGAGATGATTTTTTACTGATTGACCATCGCCTGCAGCCTCCTCTGCTTTCTCTTCCTTCCCCCACTTCCTGAAAACTGCTCTAGAGGGCTAGGGAGCTTCTGGAACAGTATGCTAGGTGGCATTGGACTTAGATCCATTTAACTCCGTAGTCCCATATTTTAGCCTACACTGCAGAGACAGCAAAACAAGAGCATATAAAATAACAAGACCAGACTACCACGTGTGCTCTTTTTGGGGAGACGGAGAGAGAGAAATCTGGGTTCCAGATTTAAGATGATGATATTAGATACCATGTATGCACTGCATGCCCTCCATTGTGCTCTGTTTTTTGTAATCCTTTATGGAACTACATGTTTCAAAATGTCTTTCCCCCGTCTGATAGATCCAAACTTCAAAGACCAAGCCAGCCAACAAGGCGAAAGTTCTCAACTACCCATAAACGTTCTGCAGCCTCAGATGAATGTAATGACACCCGTAAATACGCAACATCAGTCAATGAATATCTTCCCATATCCAATGAGCGTCCCTGGTCCTATTGTGAACATTCAGCACAATCCATTTAGCCTTCCTCCACCGGTGCCCATGCATCTTCATACAGGAGTGCCTCTCGTGCAGGTAGCAGCTTCAGCCAATGTGTCTCAGGGACCACCTCCACCACCACCACCTCCACCACCATCCCAGCAAGTTAACTATGTTGCTTCCCAACTGGATGGAAAGCCGTTGCAGGTATATCGTTTGATTGTAAAAAAGTAAATAAATGTAGTTTTAAAACTGACTTTTGGAACAGGGTTCTTTTCTTGTTTTATGTAAATATTATGCATTTGGCTGGAAGTTTTCCTTAAACAATTTAATGCTGCCACTAGATTGACTCAAAAGCCCATTGGGTGGAGGGGGGGGGAATTGGCTTGAATCATTCTTTAGGAAATCCATGGAAGGAAAATAAGCTGTCCCCTCTTTCACCCTGTACACCATCTACAATTGTTCAGGATGGCCCTCACCTTAAGCCATAAAATATCCCCAGTTAACACTTATCCTTTGTTAGTTAACATTTCTCTTCTGTCATTCTAATGGGGAAAGTATTGCTTTACACATTATTTATACAAAAGGAAGAGAGGAGGAAGAGGAGCTTCAGTTTTTGGCCCTGTTCGTGCATACTGTTGTGTGGCTGTCATGCCATGTGAAATGCATCTGCAGCGGGATAGGGTGATGGCTTATGAGTGTCCACATGAGCAAGAACTGCTCCCAGGTTAGGTGCCTGCCCTGCCGTGGAAACATAAAACCTTGGTAATCTGCCCAATCCACCTGGTTGCTGGTTACAGAAATCGCTGCTTCAGAGCAGAGTCCCCAGCAGTGTGGATACAGTGACTTTGCAACAATGATAATGTATGAATTTGGCCTAGTTCATATTATTTTTAAAAAAGCTTATATGTAGTCTGGTGAATTTGTTTCCCCATTGTGAAAAAATTCATTGACAGTAAATTCATACACAGATGGTTTGAGGAGCGGGGGGAGGACAGCAACAGAAATTGTTTACAAAAGGCTAAAATCCGAGTGCAGGATAAAAGCCAATCCCATATGTGTGCGTTCACTCAAGTCCTGTTCCAAGAAATACATTTTTGTTTGTGTCTTTATATGGAAGTGATAATCTTCATTGTTAAATTCATTTACATCTCATTTGATATACCCTACTTATAAAAAGGAACAGGAGAATATTGGTCATTTTTTGTGTGGTGATCAATTTGTCATTACTTTGAAGAGGTCTGCTTTAAGTTAATATTCCTGGCTTAGGTGGGGTGTCTTTCGCATCATAATCAGAATGTTAATCGGGTTCAATTCCAGAAAGCTTAATCAAATTAAAACAAAACCAACACTGAAACAATGTCTTAATGAAGAGGGAATTGTGGGGTCGGGGTGAAGAGGGACCTCATTGGGAAGCCCTGACTCAGAGAACACAGAAGAGTTGCCCATCCTGCAGTCCACATTTAAACCTGTTGCAATTCTCCATATCCTTGTGAGACTAGGGTGGGTTAGACTTACTTCCACAACTGAAGAAAACATTCACGTGAAGTCCAGTGTTTCTTCTTTCATGGTGGATGAATAGTCTGTCTTTGGATGATAATGAAGCAGGAGAATGGGGAACCCATATCCCTCGAGTTGATGGATGCATCAACCCCAGCTAGCAAGGCCAATGGTCAGGGAAGATGGGACTTGTAGTCCAGGAACACAGATTAGCCATTCCTGACTATACAGTGGTGCCTCGCAAGACGAAATTAATCCATTCCGCGAGTCTCTTCGTCTTGCGGTTTTTTCGTCTTGCGAAGCACGGCTGTTAACGGCTTAGCGGCTTAGCGGCTATTAACGGCTTAGCGGCTTTAAGAAAAAGGAAACAAACTCGCAAGAACTCGCAAGACGTTTCGTCTTGCGAAGCAAGCCCATAGGGAAATTCGTCTTGCGGAACGACTCAAAAAACTCAAAACCCTTTCGTCTAGCGAGTTTTTCGTCTTGCGAGGCATTCGTCTTGCGGGGCACCACTGTAAAGCAATATGCCTGTGAGGGGAGCTTTCTTCAAGATCTTGCTCGGTTGCCAAATCTCTGTTGAATTACAAGTACCTATTCAGGCCTCTGCATTTGCTCAACAGATAGCACCTTGTGAAATGTTTGCTGCTGTAATTGGCTACTTTTGGAATCTGCTCCCCCTGCTTCTGTCCTGGATGCTTTCTCATTCTTCCATCGCCATTCCCCAAGCATGGTATCTGAAGTGAACCAGAGCAGGATTGCAAATTACTGCTACTGAAGGAAGCAGACTCAAGTGCTTACACTTTTTGTGCACTGCTTGCTTCATATAATAGTTGGGCAGTGCTCATATCTTTTATCACAACTGCCTGATCCAAGTGCAAAGCCAGAATGAAGGGCTTCCATCTATTACTGGTTAGAAGGAAAGTTTGCATTCCTAGGTTTATGGCTGCCTATTCTTCTGTGGATTGCTATGGTGGTTTCATGGGCCCTCCACCCAACTGTCAGTAGATCACTGAGAGGCTGCCTTCTCACTGGTTCCTTCTGTCTTTACACCTGTCCTGGGTGGTGAGCTTTGGCTTCTATCCTAGCTGGCAAATGTATAGGTTTCCTTCTTACATGATGCACATGAGTTCAGTCTCTCTATCTGCAGACTGTTGTTTCCCCCCACCCTTTCCAGTCTCTAGGAAAACCCCTTAGCCTACATTTTCACACAAATTGCCATGTTACTAAGACTATTGGGTTGCAGAGAAAGGGGAAATGGTCGGTGTCACAAATAGGATGGATTCTGTAGTTAAGGCTAGCCTCAGCTGAGCTGAACAATCTCTTTCCACCTATTAACTATCTCTCAGAAATGTTAGAAACACCCAAGAACTAAAGGTTCAGGGCAGGAGCGTTGGATGCAACTAGTTAACATATTAACTTCTGATAACTTTTTAAAACAGGCTATTCCTAGTACTTCCCATGTTGCCAACAACATGAGTACAACCCTCTTGCCTGCTCCAACAGCAGCTGCTCTGGGAAGTGTGGAAACGGTTCAGGGACCAAGTTCTGGTAATGCAACATCGTCAAGTAACATCAAATCCTCTAATGCCGCTGTAAAATTGGCTGAAAGCAAAGTAAGTGTAACGGTGGAAGCCAGCGCAGATAGCTCGAAGAAAGACCAGGCAAGTTCAAAGCCAAGAGCAATGTGCATAATTCTGCAATGCTAAAATTGGAGAGAAATAATTATTTACCGTAAGGAAATGGAGAGGATGTCATCTTTCACCTTCCATTTATATCATCTTTTTAGCTTCCTAAGAAATCATAAGGTTTCTTCTGGGGGGGAATTATAGACTGACCTTGCAAATAAATTCATTCCACCTCATTAGAGATGTCAAATATTTGGAAATGTTGAAGCTGTGGGAAAACTTACCAATTTGAAGGGGGGTAATGCAAAGGGTGGGAGGAGTACAGTATATACAATAGTCAAACCTGAACCTATTTATTGTTTTAAGAAGATAAAACAGATTTTTTTGAAACTTAAAATATAAAACTGTCTTATTTGGTTCTAGATTCAGATAGGTAGCCATGTTGGTCTGATGCAGCAGAAATATATTTAAAAAATAAAAAAATTGTCCAGTATCACCTTAGGGACCAACTAAGTTTGTTCTTGGTATGAGCTTTTGTGTGCATGCACACTTCTTCAGATACTATATACAGATACTGAAGAAGTGTGCATGCACACGAAAGCTCGTACCAAGGACAAACTTAGTTGGTCTCTAAGGTGCTACTGGACAATTTTTTTATTTTATATGTATATGTCTTATTTGGCATATCTATGAAATTTAAAACTATAAACACCTCAGTTTTGTACAAACAAAACTGCAAACATACCCAGTTGTAGTCCACTTTCTTCTGTGGGTCTTGATTAAAGTTCTCTTCTCACCCAGATTATTTCTGTGAGGCTTTTGCTTCTGACCTTTGTATTCCGCATCAAGGCAGGGCAGCAACTTGCTTGTTTTTCAGTTGGTAGCAATTAAAGTAGACTGTTTCAGGGGAGAGGTGAAAAGATTGGCCACAAAGGAGGCACCAGATCAAAAGGACAGGTGAATCTGGATGCTTCTGGTATCTCCATTCTAGACCATAGGTGACGCAGAAGAAGGCAAGCAACAATTCAAATAATAATAATAATAATAATAATAATAATAATAATAAATTTTATTTATATCCCGCCCTCCCCAGCCGAAGCCGGGCTCAGGGCGGCTAACAACAATAAAACAGTACAAAAGTACAACACAAACAACACTCTAAAATCATTCATTATAAAATTAATTATATGCAACAAGGTCTTGAATACTCCTCTCAGAAAGGTGGTAGCAACCTCTAGGCGCAGACGTGCCTCTTGGGTTTGATCGTTGTAGACTTTCTCAAGTCAAAAAATAAAATCTTTGAACAATATTTAAAGCGTTTTCAGAGTTCCCCCATAGCGAAAAGTTTTCCATTGTGTTTTCTTTTTCCTGACCTTCACATCTATACTACCCAATCCATACAAGGGCTAGTTATTTTTTTATTAAAAGAGGAATGAAAGATCCAAATGTTGTGAAAGGTTCCTTGCCTGGTTGCTTAAAGGCAGCTGTTATTTGGTGGCTGTTTACAAGCCTTGTAGACTGCTAGCAATGCTTTATTGAACTCTCCTATCTGATAATGCTTAGATGAATAAAACTAGAGGTTGCATTGGTTTTGTAGTGTCAATAAAGCTCACCTCTAAATCAAAAGGTAGTGTGTTTGCATTGGTACACATGTTAAAAGCAAAAGTAGCCATGTTGGTCCATTAAAAAACAAAGAAACCCTAAAATCCTTAGTTGAGCAATAGTTTTTGGGACCAACCAAAGTATCACAAAATTGGGGCAAACTTTCCCGTTCTCCAGAACTGTTCATCTTACACGGTTATTTCAAAAATGCTAGTTTGTGTGCCTTTTTCCTAAGTGTAACACTTTATCCTAATTTTTCTAGAAACTGCAAATTCAAGAAAGAGCTGCGCAAGAAGTGAAGCTGGCTATTAAGCCTTTCTATCAAAATAAAGATATTACTAAAGAAGAATATAAAGAAATTGTGAGAAAAGCTGTAGATAAAGTAAGTGATACACTATTAATATCAGACAGCATTTAGCAGTCTGCATTCTTCTAACCTTGAAACCTGTTGAACAAAGGAGGCAAAGAGGTAAGGCTAAGTGATAGGCTTATTGCTCTGGAGAATAGTTCACACAGGGGTTTGTTAACAGAGGTGAAATAAGTAGTTATAATTTAAGCTAGTTTTGTCGTACAATCTTGAACAATTCTTAGTGAACATGATAATAGGCTATGGAGAGAGTGCGGACTCAATATTTTATTCCTACTCCCCTGGGAAACTAGAAAGGCATGATGAAGCTTACTCCCCACCAGATACGCCTTACAAGGGTAGTTTATTGAGATCGTATGTCCCAATAATTATTTACTTTTGGTGTGATATTAAGTGGTATGGTTGGTGCCGGTTAATTTAATGGTTGTGTGTTCTATTTTCATGTAGGTCTGTCATAGCAAGAGTGGGGAAGTTAATTCTGCAAAAGTGGCTAATTTGGTAAAAGCTTATGTGGACAAATACAAACATTCGCGGAAGAAAAATCCAGACGAGGCAGTTTTTGCGGAAAGGAAATGAGCGCAGGCTGGAATATGCCATCGAGATGTCTGCAAAGTGCAATTTTGACACGGACTATTAACTAAAAATAGTGGGTTGAAATATGATTTTGATAAAATTATTTTTCGATATAGTGTATAATGTTTTGTTATAAATAAATATAGATCAATGCTGCAACTTCTTTATCCTTTTTGGAAAGGATATGTAAAGAGAAACTAAAAGGAATAAAGGAGAGTGCCCCTCTTATTAGTAATATACAATTGTGTTGAATGCCACATGTACAGCATTTTGGTTCAAACAGTAGTGTATAAACACAGATGTTTGTCAAAATACAATGACTTGGACAGATATGTACAATATATGTAAATCAGTCAGGGGAAAAATTCAAGGCAGATTTTTCTTTAATCCTCCTGCCAATGCCCCCCCCCCTTTTCAATTCCAATTAAATAAAGTGTTTTGCCTCGATTTATAGGCTCAAAATGTGTGTTTAAAAAGCACACTCTTTGTGAATGGAACAACTCACAAAAAAATCTACAGAAGTAAAATTTGTTGCCCACACATTTGGGCATCATTTTCCTATTGTAACACCAAATAAAGGCTATGCTGCTTGTTGTTTTGTGGCTTTTTAGTTCTTGTTTTGAGTTGTTAGATGAAATAAAAGTTCTAAACGGCATGGTGCAGGCAACCAAAACCACTGCTTCATCCTCAAACTAGTTTTGGGAAATGACCTTTGAGTCATCCTGTGAGTTTAAAAGATATTCTGTGCTTGATTTTTGTATATGGGCCCTAATTGCCTAACTTCAGTTTTGTCTTTTTATCTCCCATCACCTTGAGGAAAAACGTTCTGCTTGCTATTAGAGGTGGATTATGTAACCAATAGCCTTAGTCAACACTACCTGTGGCATACCACTGTCAGTTTTGGTCTACTGTAAGCAGCTGCTTGTAGTAGGCATGAGAAGTAAAAGCCAAATATAACAAAAATTGTGTCATGACGAAGGCTGCATAATAGTTTGCCATGCTCTTTCCATTCTGACCTCCCACTAGTATAATGCATGAGGCCTAGTCTTTTATTTGAGTTGATCTTTAAAGTGTTACACGATGCATGGTGGTGAAGGTAGTGCAATTGCTAGACAGGGCATTAGTAAGCATAATGCGCTTCTACCTGAAATGGCTTGGTTGGACTTGGCATTGATTTTTCCAAAGTGTAGAGAAGTTACCACTAGCTCCTTCAACAGAAATGAAGAATTAAGGAAACTAAAGGGGCCTTGGTTTAATAATGCTTTGAAGCAAAGTGCTATTACAGTGCAGTTAATCCTCCCAGGGTTTCATGCTAGCGGCTGTGGTGTGTACCACATGTGGCACACAGCTGATGATTCAAACCATTTAGCCATGTGTTCCTGAGAGCCTTCCCACTAGTGGCAAACTAAGGAAAACCCAGGGCTGAGTGTGAAAGGAATATAGAGCACAGCTGTGTAAAGAGTTAGTTCACTTTATTTTTCAGACAAGGACTTGTTTGCCTGTATTTTGTGCGTAACTAAAGATAATATTTATCTTGTGGAATCTTTCTAGTGTGAATATTTCCCCTTCCTTTTTTTAAAAAAAACAGTCAAACACTATGCTGTAGAGTTTGTGTTAGACTAGTAGATATTCCAATGATTTCAGCCCAGACTGGCTAGCACTTTTTTGAGGAGACAAAAACATCTCCTGTAGCAAATTGTACCCTACCATTTATGTAATCACACCATATGTATTTATGCTTACTACATTCTCTCAATTATTGAAGATGGGGTGGGAGTGCATATCTCTCTGCTGCCTGGTGCAGATGTAACGTTCCCTGATACTGGTTGAGCTCAACTTTCGCTTCTCTCCACCTCTTTCCCCCTTCAGACTTGAAGGCTTCCCATTTTGCAGTGCTAATGAGGTTCCATTTGGTATGCACCAAATACATTGCTAAATGTGATTTGCTTCCAACCAGAGATTTGAAACCTCCTTCTAACCATGGCTAACTAACTTGGTGCAGATATAACAATAGCCAGAGTTAGTGCTGGGAAGGAGAAGGAGGGGTAGGAAGGAGGGAAAGTCTGAGCCTGAGGCATTGCCAGCTTTAACAATGGTAGAGAGACTGCACGACGTTATCTGCACTGAGCCATATCGTTCCCTCAGGAACTGTTTTTCTTAAGAGTAACTTCATGGCATGAAGGCTTGATACGCCTTCCACATACTTAGGGAATTTGTTTAATATTTCTGTTCTAATACTTCTGCAGCACAACAGAGGCAGAGTTACGGCGAACCCTGTATTTGCTGTGTTTCCAGTCCCAGTGAAGAATATTGACTAGTATGTGTTCAGCCTCCATCTGCGTCAGGGCTGATGAACCTGTGGCCCTTCACAGATTGTTGGACTACAAGTCCCATGGCCCCTTAGCATTGGCCATGCTGCCTGGGCCGAACGGGAGTTGTCGTCCAATATCTGGAGAGTCACAAGTTCCCCTGCCCTGGTTTACACCAATATTTAAAAACGGCATCTCCAGATATGCAGGCCTTTAAATTATGTGTTCAAAAATGCCAAGCATCACCTGTATAGGTATTCTGATCCCACAAGATCAGAATGGGATTGGACTAGATGACCCAACCCAACAATTATGTGATTCTAAGAAAGTACTCATCAGTTGGATTAGGCACTGTATGTGCAGATGGGTGTTGTGTGGCTTAGAGTGTATCCCGTGGCTGGATGAGCAACTGGAACCATAGCTCTGATTGTTGTGTTAGTGCTCTAAGCATTTATGGTGCCAGTCACTTGGTTGACTGCAGGCAAACTGACTGCATCTGGCCTCGCCCACCCACCAGTGACTGGTGTGCCGATGCTGAAATGAAGTGCTACTTATCCACTGGTGTGAAGCGCATGTATAACTGGAATGGCCTGCCGATTCTGTTGCTCTGGGAAAATCAGCCGGGCTTGCTTTCATCTGAAGACACTTGAGAAAACATGTGCTCTTAGATACACGGGCATTTCTTTGATACATTAAGGCTGCAGTCCTACACACACTTACAGGGGAGTAAGGCCCATTGAACTAATTCAGAAAGAGCTCGAGTGGAGATGCGTAGGGGTCAGCCTTCAAGAGAGAGTTCTGTAGGCCTGTAGCTGCTGACTGATATCTTGTTAATCTCTTGGTGTTGTCGTTTTTCAAGAGTTTCAATAATGCAGAAGCAAACCCAATGGACTGAAATTACTGTGAGAAAATTGGTAAGATTAGAACATCATGAAATTGTATTAAGGGGGAGAGGCAGGTGCACTGAGCACTCCATCCAGTCTTTCCGTGTGCATGTGGCTTAAATATGTCTCTTTCTTTTTCTTTTTTTACAAAACTACAAAAATAAAAAAACAAAAACAAATCAGGAGCACAGTGGCTGATTTAAGTCCAGGCTGTGTGATGTCTGTAGCATAAGGCTGGAATAAAAGTCTACTGAAACAATATTCTAAAGAGTTTTATGTAGTTCAGAATATTTTCTAATAAATTCTTTTGACTAAGTGGAAGGAGTCTGGCTCTTTTTAACCTGTGTTGGTATTTCCCAGTTATTTCCCAACACTTTCCTGGTATCAATGTCAAGCTGACCATTTGGTAGTTACCTGGGTCATCTTTTCCCTGCTTTTCAAATATGCAGACAATGTTTGACTGCCTCCAGTCTGCATGGTCAAATATAAACAGAGGCTCTGATACTACACCTGCAAACCTACGGGCAGCTCCTCATGCCTGGAGATTTGAGTTCATTTAAAGTAGCTAGGTGTTCCCTTACTACCTCTTTGCCTATCTTGGGCTGGAGCTGCCTCCTTAGATAATTTATTCTGTTATGACCAGGTTGGGCATCACTTTTCTTTTGGGTGAAGACAGAGGCAAAGTAGGTGTTGAGCAATTGTATATTGTTCCTTTGTAATTTCCCCTTCCATTTATTGCACATGCCCTTAAATCTCAGCTCATCTGTAAGCTTTTTATGCAGCTACTGTACACTGGTTTCTATAGATGCCTCCCACTTTTCTTTCTTGTTAGAATTGTCCACATTTGTGCTTTCAATATTTCACCTTTAAGATTAAACTCCCATCCATCTTGGACTCCCTTCTCTTTTGAGTGTTTCTGATCACAGGATCTCCATGGGTTCTCACCCAGTGGATCCTCAAGCTGTTTTCTAATCAGTCCTCTTCAAGTCCAGAGTACATGGTGATCAGGCTGGGTGATCCTCTGTAATATAGCTGCTAAAAAGTCTCATTCTGTTGGCTGTCTCTAGCTGAAAGTGCTTAAACCTGAGCAGCAATTAATAGGTGTATGGAGAGAATTTTTTTATTGCTACTGTTGTTTCCCAATTCAACATGCTTCCTAACATATGTTCACACAGGTGCTTACGCTGCCTTCTGTGGAAAAGTTATTTCAGCTTCTACAACTTGTATATTGTATAGCCTCACTTATATAATGCTGGCTTTCAGCTGCTAAGCATATACACACACACAAACACGTTGAACGAGCTTTAAAAAAGTGGTGTGGAAATTGTCTAATCTTTTGAAATATCCTAAGAATAATTAAGTATGTGCAGCAATAAAAGGCTTTAGATATACCTTTGCCTTCTCTTCACAACTTTCTTCATGGGTTGTAGCATAACAGTTTACATTACACTTTGAAGTAAAATATATTTTATTAAGTACCTTTCTGAAGATTCAGGAATTTAGTTGCTGAGGTGTGACTTCAGACAGAAATAATACTCTATAAAGTTCCGCCTGCCATATACAATCTTTGCAAAGCAAGACAAGTGTCTAAAATGTATTATTCAGTAAGAGTAAAATACAAGTGGGAACTTGGAGGAAAAGGAACATATTTTAAGCATTGATTGGGCTGGTACGAACTGCTCTGCGATATAAGTTTGTGTACAATACACTGTTCTCTAGTTGAAAATAATAATGCCATGTCCAGGTTCCACTTTTAAATTCACTTCAACAGATATAAAAGAAAAATTACATATTCTTTAGAACAGAGGTTCTAAACTGACTGTGAATTCATGGTTGAAAACAGGAGATGACACACCTTAGCAGACTGAATTGTTTTTAAATTGCATTTTTAGTGCTTTTGTTTCTTGTATTTTCTTGTATTCCAATTTGAATTCTATGGAATTACAATGGCTACGGCAGCCAGAGAAATCATTAAGTGCCTCCCCCCCTGGCAATTTTCAAGTGGTTCATGAGGGGGAAAGCTCAGGGGCCACTCCTTTAGGAAATAGAATTAAAAGGGTCCTCACCAATAACAGATTACTGGGTGGGGTCGTGGTGGTTATTGGATGCTCTGCTAAAAAGTACAGTGTGCCTTACATTGTGACAACACATCACAACTTTGGCCTACCTGAAGGTTAGCTGAGCAATACTGACACACAGGAATTGAACTGCCTGCATCAGAAATGAGTGTTTTAGGACTGCTGTACTGCAGAGAGGCAAGGGTAAATACCAACTTTGTGTTGAGGCTACAGGGAAAGCTGCTTAACTCGGCCTCATGCAGAGTCCACTGGCAGAGTTCACAATAGTTTCCCTCCTCAACTCCTAGGATTTCCCATGCATCTTCCACTTATGTCTCACAGCAAACAAGAAAGTACAATTTTTATGGTGGGGCGGTGGGGGGGAAGAAGGTGAGGTTTGTTGCACAATACCTCCCACCCAACTAGCTGCAAAACCTGCATTTGCCAGTATGTGACTGAATCTTACCTGGAAACAGTTGACAGTCTGGAAGCACCCTAAATAAGAGGCAAATGCAGCGTGGAGTTTTGATGACAACGTTGCTTGGAAGCTGCATGCATGAGGAGCCGCGATCCTGCAATGAACACTCACAGGGAAAATTGCTGAGAGGGACTGACGTAGCAGCAGAAAAGCCCCTTTCAAAAGCCATATAAATAAGGGAGAGCAAAATTAGAGAAGGAACACGGATCAAAACATCACACATATCGGGAAAGAAGAGTGGAAAGGAAATAAGGTACTGGCAGTTAGAAAAGTCTGGATAATAGTGTTGAAGCTCGGATAGCAGCAGTTCTTGAAAGTTGGGAAATAAAAGTTGAAAGATACAAAAGTAAGTGCTAAAATAGAGAATCTGTGAAGGGGAGGAAATGCAGTTGGCAAGCTGCAGTACTTAGCAATTTAAAAGAGACAGAATAAATTGTGATTTAGAAAAGACAGAATAAATTGTGAGGAAAGCAGGGGGAAGCACTTGATACACTTTTTAAAAGGTTTTCGGTTATGTATGCACACATATCTCACACATCTAACTCAATGCAATGAGGGTGAGCCAGTGAGTTAGTGTTAAATTTAACAGCAACTGCCCCCCACTCCTATGTCCCCAGGCAAATAGGCTTCTCTTTAGACCTTTGAACAGGCCTGAAATAGGTCTCCAAATATGTTGGTTTCATGTGCACAGAAACCTCCCTGCAGTCAGAAACACTTTACAAGATCTCTTAGGTATTACCTCATGAGGGGGGAAAGTGGGGATGAGGGCTGTTTTTGTTGCCCTCAGACTTGTGGAGAGTGAATTTGGGTAGTGAGGATGCTCACTAGTCAAGGAGCTTCCTCATGGCAGTTTATAATGCTTTTTCTAGGTTTCTAAATAATACAGGGAGCCTTTCACCTGCATGTTTTCTTCAGCCCTGTAATGAGCGCCTGAAGAATCATCAGAGGAAAACAACACCCGCAGATTATTTTTATAGCACAATAAGGTTTGGGCAAGTTTTCCGAAGCTGTACTCAAGGCAGGCCACTAAACTACGAATAAACAAATTTATTAAAATGTGGACAGTTCACACGCTAATTTAACTAACGGCATGCTGGAATAAAAGTCTTACTGTTTGCTGGAAGGGGAAGAGGGAATAATTGGTCCAGGGGCACATTTATGAGGAGAATGTTCCAGAATCTTCTGAGCACCACAGCTGAGGCCTCAGACAC